CGCTGGTCCACGCCAATTCGTTTTCTTAGAAATTCTTATAAAACTATATAAATCTATTATTTACAGCACTGCTTTTTAAACAAACGAATAATAATAAGTGTTGTTAATACCTGAAGTCTGCAAATCTCCTGTCAGGACGCTAAGAACTGTATAAATATATTGTCAGTTTAACTGTTATGTCTGCCTTGATAGAAGCGGAACACGCAGAAAATGGCCAGGTTTTTTTTCATCGATGAAGTTTCGCTAAATGTGTAGTCAACAATCTACATTCTACAAAGCCAGAGCATACAACAGGAACAAAAATATGTATATGATGTGTTCATACATGGTGATACAAAATAATAATATCCCTGATCACATTATATTTTTCAAAGATAAACTACATTATATGATAATCGCAATTTTTATATATATATATATATATATATATATATATATATATATATATATATATATATATATAAACAATAGCTTAAAAGCAGAGATCCTTTTCGTTACAGCATTGCAGCTCCAACCCCATAATTTTTGGGATGTTGTGGTTTTTCTAGGCAAATATACGTCGTAGTTTGCCACTGCCCTGGACGGTCGGCTTCTCGATATCACTGTCGAAACCAGCGCTAGTCCCGCAGCTGAGATCGAACCCGGCAACCCTGCATTACAAAGCGCGTTCGCAACGTGTAAGACAGATGTTTCGTTACAGTAGAAGAAGTAATTTAAACATCGTTTTTAAACCATCCGGGTTATAATAGACCCACAGAGTATTTTTTTTCAAAATGTATATTTATGTCTACCACTCATATTTGGTTATGCTGCAGTATCCTGTAATATTGTCACATTTTATATATATATATATATATATATATATATATATATATATATATATATATATATATATATATATATATATTCTGTATATTTTCCCTTCAACATCTGTTTAAAAAGTGTCTGTCTCACAACACCAAGATCAAAATATATAAAACGTTGATAAGTCCAGTCGTTCTATATTGCTCTGAAACTTGGAGCACAACTAAAGGATTTTTTTTTTTTTTTTCATCGAACACCGGCTGTGAATTCCAGTGGAAGGTCAGGTAATCGTCCGCTTGGACTTTTGGCTTTCACCTGGACCTGATTTTTGCGTGTACAACCGTTTTTCATTTCCCTGCCTCATGGGCAGCTGTACGCCGACTTCGAAGGAAGACGTCAGGCCTATTTCTAGGGTGACTGTGGCCATTGTTTTGTGTGGGTCGAGACGTTGCCTGATTTGTGTGGTGTCCACATTGTCTCCTTTGCCGCAGGTATTGCCCCCGGAGTATCCCTTTGGGTCAGCCCCCTGTGGAGCAGTTAGCCCTCAAGGGAAGGCAGGGGCAGATCATGGGCATTCCCCGCCATCCAAGGAGGCATCCATGTATGCAGAGCCGGCACATGGCGCTCTGGTTCTGGGCTCACCCAAGGAATCGCCACGTCCTGCACATGCCTGCTTAACCTCACAACCGTATCAGGCCTCCCGCTCGACAGGGGCTGCGCCCTCTGGAAGTCAGCGGGGAGCAGCCCGTGGGTTTTGGACTTTTGTGACCACACAGATAGGTACATTCTTTTTTCTTCGCCCGTTAGATTTCTTTGACGAGCCGTTAGCCCGACAGAATTGTACATCCTGCTCCAGGCATATCGTATCAGTTTTGTCCCAACACTCGGGCGAGTGGGGTCTTTGGGTGTGGACATTCGGTCTTTTTCAGTTCAATACAAATTTTGAGGGCAGATTTTGATCCGTATGATCTAGTTTTGTCGGACATTTAGGCTTAGCCATCCGATGGATGGTTGCTGTTATGGTGTACCACAGCGCGGTGACGACGACACTGAGGGTTAACCAAGGATGTACATGAATGGCCAGCCTATGGATGGTTGCTGTTGTGGTGTACCCCAGCGCGGTGACGACGACACTGAGGGTTAACCGAGGATGTACATGAATGGCCAGCCTATGGATGGTTGCTGTTGTGGTGTACCCCAGCGCGGTGACGACGACACTGAGGGTTAACAGAGGATGTGCAGTGAACAATGTTCTCTTTACTCCGCAGTCTTTTAACCAGGGGTTGTAATTTTGGCTGTACGTTTGGCAGACCTACTCATGTTCCTAATGAGTTATAATAACATTTTTCACCCAAGCGTTTGGGGGCGGGCTGATGAGAGCCACAAGGACACATCACCTCTGGGGGCCGCCAAACTCCGAGATCCCCTGACAGCTCTGTTAATGCTCATTTGAGAGATTATCCGTGGCGCACGACGAGGACGTGCTGCCGGGGTCTTGCGTGAGGTTCCGTACAACCAGGATATTAAAGGACTGGCGCCCGAGTGACGTACGGAGTATCTCCTTATACACATCATGTTGGACTTAACTTCCCCTCACGCCTGTGACATAAATCACCGCGCCACACTAAGGGATTTGATTTGATTCAAGAACCCACAGCATTGGGGCATTCCTATTAGCGCTCCGTCCCCATCTTCAGCAGCCAGCGAAGAGTTCCGATACTAATGGTGCCAGTAGCATTCTGATTAAACGTCCGTCTTGCCTTTCCTCTGACCCTCGAGCATCTGTAAGAACCTCTCGTCACTCTCCCTGCATCAGTCTCACCAACAACTAAAAGAGATGAAGCCGTATGACATGTTTTCCAAACCAGACTTACGACGAATCTTTGGACCCATCAAAGATGCAAACAGCGGGGAATGGAGAGAAGCAACAACGAAATTCATAATCTGTTGAAATCACCATTAATCACTGGCATCATGAGAGCTAATATACTGAAATGGTTTGGGTATACTGAAAGAATGTCTGATGACAGAGAAGTAAAAATTGTATACACAAGGGAGATGGATGGTCGCATACCGCGAGGCAGACCAAGAAGACGATGAAGAGATAATGTCCAGACAGACCTGCAAACACTTGGTGTCATCAACTGGAAAGAAAAGGCCAGTCAGAGAGATGGGTGGAGGCGGGTGATATCTGCACAATGAACCTCAAGGACTCGGAATGCTGAAGAAGAAGAATATATTTTAAATGTACCTTCAAACAATTATAGTAATTATACTGTGTAGTCTATCTTTGCGAATATTTAAAGGGATCTGGGATACCGTTATTCTGTCTTAAGATATCATCTCATATGCGATCCATGTTCTCACTACAGCTTATCTAAGTACAAGAGGGTGTTCTAAATATGTAGGCAATGGCAAACAGGTGGGAATTGGAGGAAATGAAAAGACAGGCAGAGAAACAAAATTAAGGCAGAAGAAATAAAATATGCTCCTGATCTAAGCACTATCAAAGCGACGCAAGCGATATGGCGTAGGGCTCTAGTTCTGTTCTGTGAGTCTGTTACAATTACAACAGTCCGGACTCTGCTGCTTTCAAGCCATCAGAAAACTGCCGTTACTGTGTACACTTCCACTAGCTTACTGGATGTCTTGACAATATATGCGAGGCATTTTTTTTAGGTCGGTGTCCATTCACCTTTGCAGTGAAACCCCGCTCGCTATTCTCACCTCTCACTACAGACCCATCTGTAATAATGTCACATGGGTGTGTTTCATTGATAGCTTCGTGCACCAGTTTCACTTGTTACCTATTTCTTGCACCCTCGATCAAAGACAGCAAGGCTGTTTTGTTGATCGGCACTGTAACATATTCCTCACCATTTGATATCTTGTCAGTAGCACAAACTTTTCTGATAATGATTCTGCTTGTGGCATCCAAAAGCTACCTCTTTTCCAACGGTGCTCCATGATTTTCCCCCTAAGCACTCGCGTAGAAGGTGCTCCCTGTTTGTTGCGACTTGAAAGGTATATTTTTGCTTGTAACACATTGACCTTGCACCCTTTATATAAGTTTTAAGTGTCTAATTTGTAAAAGGCAGTAGTATGTGGAAGTACAAAATGGTTATAAAATGCAGCTGAATAAAGATCCTTCGGGGAAAGAAGTACAAAACAACATGTTTTTATGACTCACAAAGATGTCATGGACAGTGAGCTGAGCTAAGAACAGACATTATGACACTGGGGTATTCACATAAGTGCCCCATCTTGATCTTCAGCAGCCAGCGCAATTTCAGTTACGACAGTACCAGTAACAGTCTGTATATCCGTCTTGTCTTTCCCTTGAATGTTTAATGTCAGTCACTTCCCACTGCACCATTCTCTTCGGACCGTAATGATTTATTTGTGCCTTTGCAATGTTCACAAGCTTCAAAGAGCCTTTATAACGTCTAGCTAGTCATGCGTCAGTTTACCACAACCAACCTGTCTGCCTGCCTAATCGTTTCCCAACACATTCACATATCCTGGAGAAAATATCGGAAGAAATCTGGACCTTTAAAGTAATGCTTGCCGTGCTGGGCGTCGCATATGTGTGCAGCTGATTTTTAAGCTAAAGGAAGGCGACATTGACTGCCTTCATTTCCATTCTCAGACTAGATGTATTGATATTCCATAGCAGCCTTTGTTGGGCTAAATATCACCCCTTCACCTGTGCTATGAACCCCGATGAATTTTTTAAAACCTCTAAACACAGAGGCATCTGTAACCTATGGATAATCACAGCACATGGGCAAGAACTGTCATGAATAAATAGTTGAATTATGACAACTTAAATATGCTGTTTATCTGTTTATTGTGTTGTCATAATCCTTCTATAGAACCCCTGTAGCTTCCAAATAATTTCTTACGATTCTGTGCACTGTCCAAACTACACTTTATCTGTTTTATGAATGATCGCCAACACAAGCATTCGGTGATGCGTAGGCTTAAGTGGCAACCCCATTTTAATTTGAAAGAACATTAAATGTCTTAAAAAATTTTTCTTATTCATTTTTGAGGAGTCCGTGCATTAAAAGTCAATAATCATACGATTAAAGTTGTTATTGATATAAAAAATATAACGTAAAATATTTTTCAAAATTTTGACCAATACACAATCACATTTTGCATCATTCCCTTGACTGTTTACAGCAACCAAGATGGCGCTGGTGTACATGTTTCTGGTCTCTAGCGGGCTCTTGATGGTTGTTCATTGTCAAAACCAAGACTCAGTTATTGCATTCCAGACCATCAGTAGTTGTAAAAACGGGTCAAATCCCAGCGATATAGTAGAGTATTTTAATGCTGCTACTTTATCTTGTGTGAAATGTGGAGCAAACTTCACTGTTCAACAAAAGAGCGCAGACGGTGAGTCTGGGAGGGCGTTCATGTTTGATCTTGTCTAAATTATAAATCAGAGCTGAGAAAATTTTTGTATTAGTTGTACACTTGAGGCTGTTCCGTTGTAGCCAGAAGGAGACATTCTGTATAACTATTTAGAGGTTAAACACAGTTAAACGCCTTGGCACAAAACCAGCAAACTGCAAAGTATAGTAAAACTTTTTAAGAACACACCGATACATATGTCATTAGCCAATGTAGTCATACTTCTGTGTCGTCTTACGGCCTTACAGGGAAATCACGGCATTACTGTCGGTCACAGACGCGATGTGAATGTGTATAAGGAGACACTCAGTACCTTGCAGCAGACTGTCTGCTGGTTTTTTCGGATCCTCCTGCAAGACGGTTGCCAGATATCCTTGTTTTACACGATGGATAATGAGCTGTATCAGCCAAACAATATGAAACTGTTTCTGCCTCTCTGTCTGTTCACCCATCATTTTCTTACTCCATTGATCTGTGGAGCGAACTTCACTGTTCCACAAAAGAGCGCAAGGAAATGAAAAAGCTGACAGACTGGCCGTGTCTGCAGTGGCTAGGGGCGGAAGATGTATTGACAGGGCAGAAATACTGAATGTGCTGTTCCACAGATGCTGAAACAAAGGAGTCAGAGATGATGAACCAGCTGTTGGAAAGGGTATTAAACAAGGACACGTGTTCAGAAACTGGTTGTGGGGCAAAGAAAGAAGATATACCAGTCAACTCCTACTGGGTATGGTAAGCATGGAGACAGGGGCAAAGAAAGAAGATACACCAGTCAACTCCTACTGGGTATGGTAAGCATGGAGACAGGGGCAAAGAAAGAAGATACACCAGTCAACTCCTACTGGGTATGGTAAGCATGGAGACAGGGGCAAAAAAAAAAAGAAGATGACCAGTCAACTCGTACTGGGTATGGTAATCATGGAGACACTAAGTAGAAGAAAAAAGATACTCTTTGCTATCTTCAGATGGAGATGGAGCAGATATGGGCGTGATCTAAGTGCTGTGATATCAGTATTGGATGATAGTTTCTGATGATATCAGTATTGGATGATAGTTTCTGATGATATCAGTATTGGATGATACTTTCTGATGATATCAGTATTGGATGATAGTTTCTGATGAAATCAGTATTGTATGATAGTTTCTGAAAATCTAACCTTCTGTACATGTACATATTTCTGTTACTCCCCCTTTATTTGAAGGTTTGGCGTGTGTATGCAAAGAAGGGTATCGTTATGTGAGCAATTTTGGAGGCAGTCAAGTTATGTGCGAGCGTTGTCCAGGGGTAAGTATTCATTTATTGCCTAATATTATAGGACATTTGCTCTTTTCTGCTACATTTTTTGGACATAGCGCCAAGCTACCCAGCTGCAGTATTTGCAAAATTCATCTAAATGCATATTCAGAGTTGTTATTTGTCTCTTCAAAATGGGCCAAAGCCACACACTCCAGACAGGTTAGAATGAAGTATTAATTTTCACACAATGAAACAGTTCCTCTGAGATCCCAATCTTCAAACCTGATTTTCGTAACCCTTTTGCTCCATGAAGTTGAAAAACCGACATGTCTAGTCGGGTCAAGTTTTCCATAAATGTCACTTTTTCAACTCTCCTTTTGTGACCTGTTTATGAGATGTAACGTTAATGCAGTTGGCTGACTTCGGGCCTGCGCTAGACTCTCCTCATTCAGGAGGTCAGGATATTGATAAATTAACTAAAAATAGCATTTAGAGTGGTTTTTCTTTGCGTTAAATGACGTTTTTTAAGCCAAGATGACATCAGATTTTCTCCTAAACTTCCGTGGTAAAGGCCAGGGGTCACGGCATGAGTCACCCTATACATGAGTGTTTTTTTAAGGCCTGTGGGATGTATTCAGTTTAGTTCTTAACCCTGTACCTGTTTTTGATTACTCCTTTTATATCTTCTTCTTTTGTCAAAATCTGCTTATGCTGCTAGGCGTCGCAGTCTATCAGATGATCGGCAACCGAGCCAGGGCGCGCTCAGTCGCTTCATATATTTTCTAATCTCATATATTGTTTCTAGAGCAGATTTTTGTGAACTCTTAAATCCACTGCCGATTTGCTGGACCTGACACAGATTCATCCTTAAGAGAACACTGGAAAACTCCTTTTATATACCTTTATATATTTTGAGAAATAAGTAACAACTAACATGTCTGTAAATACATTTTAACAAATTTATTAGTGACCTATGTAAAATTGTTGCTGCTTTTTACATATTCTTTTTTTTTTCCAGGAATCATAACAGGGTTATTACCTATTTTTTTTGCAGCGTTGTTGGGGTGAAAGGGTTTAAATAAGCTTTTCAGCACTTTCACTATCAGTCAACTCACCTTGAGTTTACCACAGTTGCCAGACAGTTGGAACTTTTCAGTGGCTGCTGAAGATGGGGATGGAGCACTTATGGGATTGTCCCAAATGCTATGATGATGGTTTTTTTAAACTCTACTCAGCTGTGTTTTCTGTCCTGACAGGCTGTGTCTGATGATGGATGGGAATGTGTTTCCTGTGCAGCAAGTGCCAACAGCACCAGTACAGGACAGTGCAGTGTTTGTCCCTCGGACGCAGTCTCAGGTACAGTTTGTCCCCCACAGTGCTGGCATCCAGTACTTCACAGCATGATGCTGATGGCATGTTTTTGTTGTGATGGTGTCTAGAGCAGAATTGGGGTCGTGTTGTAGCGTGTGCAGTTGCTTCTAATCCAAGGTGTGGGGTTTAACTTTCTCGCCCCGGAAATCCTTTTGAGGAAAAAGCCTAGAACCTGGATAGTCCTGAAAAATATTGTAAGACAAATCAGTTCACTAATGAATAAATAAAAAAAAATTATTTATATACATTTTTAAAATGTGCGTTCACCGGCTGTAAACTCTGGCAGAAAAGTCTGGCAGTTTGTTGACTTCTGTATTGTGGTCCTGGTTCAGAACTTGCGTTTTGTGTGCTTATCCATTAGCAAATCAAGCTTATTTGTATGCAGACTGTTAGTTCCTCGTCTCTCAGGCAGATGCACTATTTTTTGTTAGTTTCTCGTCTCTCAGGCAGATGCACTCTTTTTTGTTAGTTCCTCGTCTCTCAGGCAGATGCACTCTGGTTTTGAATAAAACACCCGTAATTAGTTGTCTCCTTCAATATGCAGGGGCAGTGGATGTATTTTGGGGGCCCTGGAACAACCCACAGGATGAAGGATTTCAACAGATGAAATCCCTTGGCCTAAAATAATTCATATCCTCTGTCACACCATGACCCTGTGACCCCAATCACTGAAGGCTAAAGGAGAATTAATGCATCGCTAGGAGGTTATAATGACTGAAAAGCCGTTTTTTTTCTTCAGAATACCCTTCCACCCGGTGTAGGTCTATATATATATATAGTCATATCCGACTCTCCTATACACTGTGCAGACGTAAATAGAACAAGCACCGCCAACTAACCTTGTTGCTGACTGGCGGATTTACTGGGATACATATCAGACAGCGATGGTGGATTAGAGGTCTCTCGAGGTCAGATAGTTATATTGCCCTCAAGTTGGATATAGATATCCCGCCGTGGCTCTGGCATTGATCTGGATTAACAAAATAAATAGGTCTTTATTTTCATTTACCTTGTCAGGTGGCTAAGGCATTTCTGTTTGTCCTCAGATTGTGGTAGTTTGTGTTCTGGATCTGTTCTATTTGTGATATTCCCCCCATACTGCCATCACGAGGAAAGAAGAAATTGAAAGAAGACTAGGACTGAAACCAGTCATACAATTCATTAAAGAACAACAAGTGAGATGGTTTGGCCACCTGATGAGAATGCCCAGCTGCCACAGAGAGCCATGCTGAAGAAATATAATGAACACAGAACAAGGGGAAGACCACGAAAGAGATGGAGCAACACCATCAGGAGCAGCCTAACCGAAATGAACACCAGCTAGTACAGTGCATTGGAAAAAGCGCACAAACGATCCTTATATCTCCCCCCAACACCTCGCTGAGGTAAATGGTGAAAGAGAAGAAAAAGAAGAAGAAGAACTGTCATCTTAGACCGTTCAGTTTATTTTCTCTGTTTCAGCATTGTCTGTCCGATCTTTCTAGTTGTAAAAATGTTATTTTATAGCCCTCTTCTCAGCACATCATTAAAGAGCCTTGTCATCATTATCATGAAGTTCCATGCCAACATGAAACCATCAAGTGCCTTGCAGTATCAGTGCTGACACCCCTCCATGCTAAGACAAATAGCTGACAAGAATCGTCTCGCGTTGTCTTCCACTCTATCTTTTCCACTGGTCTTTCCAGTGGTCACATATTTCAGTTTCTCTCTTCTCATAAGGTCTAGCACTGCATGCCCAATACGCCCGTGGGCGGGAAACAGGTCCTTTCCATCACTGCTTCTCATGACATGACCACAAATGATGACTGTCTCTTTAGGATGTTTGTGATAAGTTTTCGTGGAGCCCTTCCCTCTTTCAGAACACCTGGCCTTTTTCTTACAACTGCACATAATGTTGTACTTTTGTGAGACTCTTCCAAGAATCATTGTCAGTTTCTCAGCTCTATAGCAGATCCACGTTTTTATGCAGAGTAAGGGGCAGAGACTGGTACTCTTGCATTCACCTGTCGTAGCAGACATTGTTCCCAACACCAGGGGCACTCCTGCATTCACCTGTCGTAGCAGACGTTGTTCCCAACACCAGGGGCACTCCTGCATTCACCTGTCATAGCAGACGTTGTTCCCAAGACCAGGGGCACTCTTGCATTCACCTGTCATAGCAGACATTGTTCCCAACACCAGGGGCACAACTCTTGGTCACCAGGGTCTTATGGTTGTCTACTGCTACTGTTTTCTTCTTCTTCTATGATTTTTCTGTCAGAAAACTAATATCAGGAGACCGTTAGCCTTTATGAAAGCTATCGTGCAGTCCATATCCTCTTGTGTACTATACAGTTTTGTTTTCATTGTGATTGGAACAGGCCAACTTGCATCTCTGTTGTCATCATACAGTTGACAGTGTTGGAGCACATGCTCAGAATTTGTTGGTGCCACTTTAAGGTATTTGCACACCTGTCCTAGAAACCACATGCTTTATCTTCTTCAGCAGTTGCTGCTCATGAGCTTAATCCACTTTGGCCCATAAATGAATGGTCAGCTTGAGGTCTCTTGGGTTTCCCCAAAGCTTAGTTGTCAGGCCTACTGGGCGTGGCTACACCCAATGGGCGTGGTCACACCTAATGGGCGTGGCCACACCTACTGGGCGTGGTCACATGTTGCTTCACATCTCCTGTAGGAGAGGACAGTCTTGTCAGGTATATTCTGGAGCAAGCTTCTAAAAAGTAGCTAAGTTTAATCTTATAGCCTAATTCATCTGTTGTTGCTTTGTTATATACATTACTTGTGATCACAGTCTGATGTAGTCATATTAGTTGTGGTTTGTCTTTTTTAGATTTATCAATTACTGTCTGTCATTTAACATTTAGTCTCGGTCTTTATTTTTTCTTGTCATTTGTCTTAGCCATTTTTTTTTTAACTGTTCCCTTTAGTTTTATTTTTGTATGCATTTATCTAGTTTTGATTAATCTGCCAACTGCTGAAGTCTGTTTAACTATAACATCCATTCTGTCCCTTGTGATCATGTTCTTGTAGAAATGACATCCTTTTCTGTGAGTTAATTTTTTTTTTAAATTGACTCTTTTGGACAGCACTGCGACAGCTGAATGGCAATTACGTCAGCGGCACATCGCCACCTGAGGTCACATGTTTGACTTGCAATGCAAGTACCCAGCCAAATGCTAAGGGTGATCGGTAAACATATTTCTTATTTATATTTTGTGTGTGCAAATTTATGAGGTTAATGCAGAAAGAAGCTGAACTTTTAAAATGTGTTTGTGTGCACATGCGTGTGAGCGAGTGAGAGAGATAGAGATGGGGAGGAGGTGGAAGAAAAAGAGAGAGAGTTGAAAACAGTCTCTGTATATCAATTTATCCATCTGTATTCCCCGTGTGGATCCTAGAGAAAAGGCATCGACTCACTGCTTCTAAAAAACATGCTGTAAAAAAGCGACTGTGTAGAGTTTTGCTGAAATCAAATGTAAAAAGGCCTAAAGGCACACATATCACAGTCTAGCTGTAAGCCTCAACAAAAGAAGAATAATTTGTCTTTATTTATATAACCTTTTTTTATCTGTCTGTATTTCCCCATGTGGGTTCTGGGTCCCCATCTTTTCATCATCATCATCATCATTATCATGTGCCTTGCAGCATCATGTCATGTGCTGACACCCCTGCATGCTAAGACAAATATCTGACAAGAATCGTCTCACTTTGTCTTCCTCTGCATCTTTTCCCACAGGTCATTCCTGTGGTCACATATTCCAGTTTCATTTTTCTCTATGGAGGGGGGGGGGGGGGGGGGGTTGTTCCCCCAACAGGTGTGTCATAAAAGTTGACTAAATAGGCGATGTTTCCTTCGAAGTCAGAATATGTCTGCATGAGAGGCAAGGAACCAGCAGTTTGCATACAGTTAAGCCAGATCTGTGAAACAGATAAACATGCAAAGGACCAGAAGTGGATGAACAGCCAGAACTGTCTGCTGGAGTTTACAGCTGGTGAGTGCAGAGAAGAAGGGGAAGGAGATGGGTCTGTAAATCACTTCTATTCTGCTGCCTGTTTAAAATAAAAAATATGGCACTTTGACAGTTAACATAATTTCATTGAATGTTAACATCTGCAGGTGTGAGCGGTGCAGTGTAACACTAAGCATAAGAAACGCAACATGCTCGTGTACCTCAACAGAGTCCAAGGTAGGCAGTCGAGGGAGTCTGTTTGTAGAACCCCTTACTGTTGATGGTCATCTCTCACATTGTTATTCTTGTATCATTGTCGTCATCATTATCATCGCCACCATCATCACTATCATCTTTGACATAATTCATCACTATAAGATTAAATAGCAGTAATAGTCTGTTTCTAAGCCAAAGCACGGAAATAAAAATTAAAATTTTGAGAGCATGCATCTTCCCTGCAGCAACATACGGATGTTAGTTGTGGACTGTTCCCTAGTCCTTTAAAAAAAAATTGGGGCTTTGAGCTAAAATGCTTTAGAAAGATTCTCAGAATACCAGGGTCAAAGAAGAAAAGAAATACAGACATTTTTTTTCAGCGTACAAAGATTATTAGTTTAAGAAAAATCAAAGAAATCTCCCCCTCCCCTTCCTTCCCCCTTTCCTGCCTACACCAGTACGTAGTAAATACTGGCACTGAAGTAAAAAATGTACCACTTTTTAACGGCCGGTGTAATGCTGACCACATTAGCCACTTAGCGCCGAATGGTCTATAAAAATATGGGTGCTCTTCCCATGTGCCTATTGGCGTTAAACACGATCTTTACTTTACTGACCACTTTTTAGGTTGGTGTTGGGCAGTTGGGCCTTGAGTCTAAGGATTTAGGACCGCAAGGCTGGTGCCCTGTACTTCAGAATTCTTTCTAATGTAGGAGCAGATAATTACACTACTGCCGACTTGCTAGGCCCACTGCCTGGCAGGTAAGTTGAAAAAACCTGGTCTGGTTGGTGCCGTCTCATCTCAGGCAAACTAATGCTTCATTAGCCTGAAACATCACGGCTCAGTTTCTTTGCTACACCATGGTGCAGTTGGGAGTCGACCTGGGTGTCCTTTGCAGGTTGCTGGCAGGCTACTTAGTTTTAACTTGTCGACTCTCCGAAGAGAAGCTAGCCAACCTCAAGACTGCAGTGCCAAGCGCCTGAACACACCCATCCCTCAACCTTTGCCTTGGAAAAATCCATCACTTTGCTGAAGATTAGAATCTGCAACTCCTGAATGAGAACCCAGGACTCTTAACCACTTGACCAGCGACTCTTCCTCTGTGTCATCACCATATTGTTTTTAATCTTGTCTCTAATTTACTTTTCATGTTTTTGTGTGTGTGTGGTTTATCTTACTCTACTTTTGTCTCTGTTGGATTCAGAGAAAGGACTTTCTAGGTAAACTAACAAAAGTTTTCTCAATCTATCCAGTGCCAGCAACTTTTCCCCATCCCTTTATATAATGAAATCTATTGTTCTCTCCATGAGCTTCACATTACTAATTTTTATCTATTTGAATACCTCTGTTTTGAGCAGGTACCAGTTTGCAGTTTATTAATAATTGTTTCAGTACAGATTTGTATAACAGTTAAACCTTTGAGTCTCAGGGGGTTTAACATAACAGGCCCAAGGGGTGGTCAAGAGAGACGTATGATCGGGGCATCTTGCGTTCATTGGGCTTCTAGGTAGGAATCTATGAATGTATGACGCGTTCCTTGGGACTCAAAGAGTTAACAATTCCAAGTTTGATAGTAGAATTATTTACTTTTGACTTCTTATTGCCACTGTCTTTAAGTATACATTCATTTTTTTTTTCTAGGCAAAAGGAATTTGTTTCTCAACATCCAGCACAGGCGGTGAGGCACCAGTTTTGCCGCCTGATTCCCCATCTCTGTATGCCATTCCGTTAGTGGTGAGTAAACCGCTAGTTTGGTCATCTAAAAAAGTGGATAGATACTTTTGATTAGGTTCACACACAACAAAATTGTGTAATCTGATGATGAATGTAAGCTCTTCAGAGAGAGAGAGATAAAGAGGTGGTTAGAGGGAGACTTAGATAAATCTTTGGAGATGACTCAACCGATCAGGTTTTTGTACCAGCCAATCAGATTGCTTCTCGCATTTCTTGCACATGTGGACTGTTCAGTGACCAGCTTTTGAGAAAATTTAATGTGTTCTGTAATTTTACATCGATTTATTGGAGCGGGGGCTACCTCTGCCCCACATTGGTGAAAGGACTGTTGCGTCATAGCAGCCAAAATAATATAGGATTCAGGAAAAGGAGTAGAACCATGTGTCTGAGGGGCCAACACGGGCCTTATTTCCCAAAACACAAGTGTCAGGCTTCATTCATTAGAAAATTTTAGCCATATTGTTAAGTTTAGTCATGTTTATCCTAAGTAATTAAAATAATGCATGCATAAATATGCAGATCGATAACTAATTTGAATACATATTGAGATGTCAGTGTGATTAATAAAGATAGTGTTACTTCATTCAATTTCCAACACGAATATATATATATCTGTGGCTAAGTCGATGCGAACACTTCGTAATGCCGGGATGCCGGGTTCGATCCCAGCTGCGGGCCATTTGCCTTGCGTTGGTTTCAACAGTGGTATCAAGAAAGCCAACCGTCCAGAAAGCAATGGCAAACTACTGGACGTAAATTAGAGTAGAAAAACCACACAACAGCCAGGGGCTGTTGGGTTTGGTTCTGCAACGCCCTGTAAAGGATACACAACAAACCTTATATATATATATATATATATAGTTTTGTATATGTTAATTGAATGCTTTATTTTATATGATTTTTTGTGTGTGCAAACTAAGAATCCCCCCCCCCCCCCCCCCCCCCCCCCCCCCCCCCCCTTAAAGGCTCCTTCTTCTTGGCACTAAAACTCTGAAGCTTCTGTCTCTAAAGGATTTAGAAAATCCTCATCTGGGTTCTGGGACCACTAGGGTAAAAAAACAATCAACCCACTGCTTTCTAACAAGCGGGTCGTAGAAAGGAATTAGGGGATTGTTGAAATAAGATTTGTTAAGTCACAAGGCGAAGATATTGCAGCCTAGCTTTAAACAACAACACAAAACACTGCCCTTGAGGGAAAAACATGGAAAAAGATGAAGACAATAAAGAATAAAGAGAGATAGAAATGGATTTAATTGCATGATTTCATTAATAAACCTTCTGCAAGACTTGAGTTTTATTGACACTTATGTCTGATGTACTGGTTTTGAGGTCATTTAAACCCTGAACATTTTTGTTGCCCAGAAATTTAAAGATCCATTTTGAAATTTAGTTTAAAAAAAAAAAACAACCAAGCATCCTTGTAAATCTCGGAAACTCTACCCTAAAAAATTACAGGAATAGAAGAAAAAGCAGAAGAAATTGGGAGTCTTGGTTAGTTTTTATAAAAATCCGGGGGTGGGGGGGGGGGGGGGGGGGGGTTGAAACCTGTGACCTCAGAGCAGACATGCAGATGGCATAGTCAGTGTGACATCAAGGCTGTCAGATCACTAAAATAATCCAGATGCATTTGTTTAAAGTCACGTTTAAAAGCGATTAAAAAAAAAAAAAGTTAGGGAATGAACCACTAAATACAAACAGAGAAAAGAATTGATAGCTTTCCTTCCTTTTAACCATAATAAATGTGGTTTTGTTGTCTGCCACACGGAGTAGATTGATGTCATAAGGAGATTATTATGTTGTGACAATTATTTGAAAATTTCCATCCCAGATAATATCTAATTATATTTAGGATTAATATAATCCTACCCCTCATGTTTGCACACTGTGCAGTTGCAGTCAATGACAGGGTTGGCATATAGAAGTAATCTCCACTGCCCAGAGATTTGATGTCATCAAAGAAAAAAACCATAAATGCCGGAAAGACGTCTGTCTCAGGGCAGCAAGGTTAAAAAGATGGGATCTATCGGAGCAATTTCGGTGTAGAGATTTTCTTTTGGACCTGGTTCAGAAGTACTCCTCCACAAGGACTGTGATGCAGAGCTCTTGTTCCCTTCTGCAAGCTTAAAAATCAGTGAATGGTGGGAGACCGGCACCAGAGCTTCATCCTTGTAGGTACTGATCAGTTAATCAGGTAATCGCAGTTTTATTATCATAACAAATGAGTCACCTCTTAGTTGCTCCGTTGCTGAACCAGCGATACCACACAGAATGTCTGTCACTGTCCCTTGTGAAACCATTGACATACACTGCAAGCTCAACATATCCAATAGCATACGCACGTATTAAATGCAAAATGCAGCCGTCAGGAGTGCTAACTCGAACAGTCCAACACTAGAAATGTATTTCGTCATCGATAGAACCAGGAGTTACAACATATCGATTGTTGCACATGAGGCACCACCAATACTGTGGGAACAGGCCACTCACCAATTTCCAAATTTACAGTTCGCAACACAAATCACTTTGGTCGCAGTCGAAAACATTCCAAATGAAATCCGCAGTTCACAGTGTCAGTGTCGTGCACCCAGCAGAGCAGCTGGGCGACAAAACAGTGTCCTTAAAGTCTACATATGGAGAATAATACAGTGGCTAACGTTTTTCAAAAAACAAAAACGTGCCACGAAAAACCCAATAACTAGCCTATCCTTCTTATTGACCAGAAGTCTCGCTGATTTTCGAATGTAACCAGATCAGAGTTGGGCGCATCACCAAAGACCGGCTGGGATTAAGCCTGAGGTTGTTCATGTGTTCTTCCAGCTGTTGTTTAAAGTTAAGCCCCTTTTTTATGCTTGTGGTGGATCAAGTATGTGATGCTGAACTCATTTCGTAGACCAAGGGGAATGCGTCATCTCGTGGTATGGTGTCCGCCTCGTGTGCTAGAGGTCCTAGGTTCAGGCCCCAGTGAGGGCTGGGATTTTTTCACGTGGACTTTATTAATTTCCCCTGGTCTCTGGGTAGTAAGATCAGACACCCGTGTGTATCGTTGTGCACGTAAAAAAATCCCTTGACAGTTGGAAATTGAAATGAGCAGCCTTATGGCGCTGCCCAGGCAAAATTTTGAGTTAAAAATCTACCCAAAAGTATTTCAGGATCCTCGCTCCGACGGAGCCTGTGCACTGAGCTGACCTTGTTCTGACTCAGACTTGAATGAGAAGAAGAACGGAGCCCTTATGGGTTACTACTCATATGTCATGATGTTGATCCGTTGTTCAAGCTTCAAAGACCAGTTGGCACTCGATTGGTCATGGGGTCAACATCACACTGGCAGCCTTTACTTCCCAGGACATTTCCTGAAGCCCCTATAAGGCTGGGTCAGTCTGGGAGCCAAGTCTGGTGAGTTAAAAAATAAATGTCTGCTACGAAGCTGATTTGAACCCAAGATTTTGGGGCTGGCAGGTGGGCATCTAGCTACTTTGCTTCCATGGTGGGTGTTAGGTATCTCATTTTTAACAAAGAGACTCCGAGACAATGTCAAGAGAGAAAGCCCTAGGGTTAATCTCTTCTTCTGCCTAGCGTTCGCTAGTTCTAAACTCCGCCAGAAAATTCTAGTTGTTTGTCCACTTCAGGACTTTCGTCCTGTTCGAGAACTTAAGTTTTGAGTGCACATCTGTTTCACTGATTGGCTTACTTGTATGCAGACTGTCAGTTCCTCACCTCTAGACAGAGATGAACTTCTACTTTGAAGAAAACATCCCTAATTAGTTACTTTGTATGACCTGCTTGCTATGGCCCACACAGGAAGTAGGGACATTGAACACAGTTTGAGCGGAATATGCACCAAAGCCAGTGTAAATAATGCTAAAATCTATAAACGATTAATACTTGATTAAACATTAAAAATTTTTTTTTTTCAGAATGGCAATACATTTCAAGGTTCCGACTATTTAATACAGAATGTACGAGGAGATTACGCTTTATGTCGTGTAAGTATGTTACATTTCTTTCATATATTTTTTCTTACGTTGAGCCTGCTTATAACGCAGGAGATTTGTGCCTCTCTCTTCATGTATAGTTGTGAATTCTATAATGTTCAGTTGCTCACACTTTACGAATTGAAGAATTGGCAGCTAGTGATGCCTCCATTCCTGTAGTCAAGCAACACACTCAGTATTTGATATCTTTTTCTTATGTTGGGTTTGTCAGTGTCTGTGGCTTAGGCGTTGGGAACAAACTTCATAATGCAGGGGTGCAGTGTTCGATTCCAGCTGCAGACGATTTGTCTTGAGTTGGTTTCGACAGTGGTACCGAGAGCTGACTGTTCAGAAAGCAGTGGCAAACTACTGCAGTTAGCTAAGATCTGAGGATCTTTCTAATTTTCGATATTTTGCCTGCTCCCATGTGGGTTCCAGTGCCCCATTGTGGGAGGAAATAAAAAGGAAAAAATGGACGCACTACAGTAAATGGACTAGAATGTCATACAAGTTTTTCTGCTTGTATGTGGTTGTTAATATTTCTCCAGACTTACAAGAGTGTGACTGCCTGCCAGTCACTGGCCAATATGTGTGTGCTGTTTTGGTACCGAGGGATGGACACTGCTGCAGCGACCAATCCTACCCCCTGTTCTTTGTTTCAACAGATTAGGTCAGTGAACACATCCACTGCCATCACCATTACTATCATCATCACCACCACAACCACCATCATTCCCAATTTTCTTCTTCTTAGCATTCACCGGCTGTAAACTCCTGGGAAAGTTCTGGTTGCTCATCCACTTCTAGACTTTGATCTGGGTCTAAAACTTGGATTTGCTTGCACATCTGTTTTCAGATCTAACTTATTTGTGTGCAGACTGTTGGTTCCTTGCCTCTTAGGCAGATGCACTCCAACTTTGAAGACAGTACCCGTGATTAGTCACCTTTTTTCAAAACATGGTGGTGAAAAGAGCGGGGTGGGGGGGGGGGGGGGTGTGTAGTGTCTCTTTTCTTTGTTCTCAAAAATTGAGTCTTAGAACCACACGGGTATTATCATTCATCATTGTGAACATTATTGTCAATATCACCAAAGTTTCCATCATACTCACCAAATGACAAACAATAACCATCACCTTGTCATTATCATCATTGTCATCATCATCATTGACATCATCATCATTGTCATCATCATCATCATTGTCATGATCATCATCATCATCATAGTCATCATCATCATCATCATCATCATCATAGTCATCATCATCATCATCATTGTCATCATCATAGTCATTATCATAGTCATCATCATAGTCATCATCATCATAGTCATCATCATCATCATCATCATCATCATAGTCATCATCATAGTCATCATCATCACCATAGTCATCATCATAGTCATCATCATCATCATCATAGTCATCATCATCATCATCATAGTCATCATCATCATCATCATAGTCATCATCATAGTCATCATCATCATAGTCATCATCATAGCCATCATCATCATCATAGTCATCATAGTCATCATCATCATCATAGTCATCATCATCATCATAGTCATCATCATCATCATAGTCATCATCATCATCATAGTCATCATCATCATCATAGTCATCATCATCATCATAGTCATCATCATCATGATCATCATAGTCATCATGATCATCATAGTCATCATCATCATCATAGTCATCATGATCATCATAGTCATCATCATCATCATAGTCATCATCATCATCATCATAGTCATCATCATCATCATCATGGTCATCATCATCATCAACATCATCATCATAGTCATCATCATCATCATAGTCATCATCATCATCATAGTCATCATCATCATCATCATAGTCATCATCATCATCATCATCATCATCATCATAGTCATCATCATCATAGTCATCATCATCATCATCATCATCATAGTCATCATCATCATCATCATCATAGTCATCATCATCATCATCATCATCATCATCATAGTCATCATCATCATCATAGTCATCATTATCATCATCATCATCATAGTCATTGTCATCATCATAGTCATCATCATCATCATCATCATTATGATCATCATCATTGTCATCCTCATCATCATCATGATCATTGTCATGATCTTTATCATCATCATTGTCATGATCACCATTGTCACCATTGTCATGATCACCATTGTCACCATTGTCATGATCACCATTGTCATCATTGTCATGATCACCATTGTCACCATTGTCATGATCACCATTGTCACCATTGTCATGATCATCGTTGTCATCATCATTATTGTCATGATCATCATCATTATCATCATCATCATTGTTGTGATCATCATCATCATCATTGCCATCTTCACCATCATCATCATCTCTATTATCATTAATAATACCATGATCATCATTGTCATCATCATCACTATCATCATCATTGCCATCATCATCATCATCACCATCATCATTGCTATCATCATCATCATTATTACCATCATCATCATCATTGTCATCATCATTTTTGCTATCATAATCATCAGCATCTTCATCATTGCCATCATTATCATCATAATTGCCACCATCATAATCTTCATCACTGCCACCGTCTTCATCATTGCCATCATCATCATCATTGCCATCATTATCATTGCTGTTATCATCATCATCACTGCCGTCATCATCATCTTTGCCAACATCATTATCTTTGACATCATCATCATCATTGCTATCATTATCAATTCTTATTGCCGTCAACATTGTCATCATCATCATTGTCATCATAGTCATCATCATCATCATTATGATCATAATTTCATTCTGTATTATTAGGTTTGCTGAGAAACTGACACTACAAAAAATATATTGACTTCTCAATGTAAATTTCTTTTCTCCCTTGTCATCAATCAGCGGACCGGATTTCGTATCCCTAAAACCGCCAATAATTGTCACCGTGGATGCTGACAATGAAATCGTCAACGATGAACTGAAAACACAGTGGACTGTTGACCCCATAATGAGATTTCCCTTCCGTGTCGGACAGTTCTCACTGGAGGGAGAGTTTGAAGGCTACAAGGACATCACCGGAGGACTTCTGCAGCTCTGCAAAGCTGAAGACAATGTACTGGATGCTGCCTACAATTTCGGCACCTACTACAGCCAGTCTGTAAGTGGAAACACTGTTTGTGTCTGCCTAGGTGCAATTCCCCATAAGGTTCAGGGAAATCATATATTTGTTTTGTGTGTTACTGGGTCCCATGAAAAGCACAAAAGTGAGTTGCATATTCAAAGCAGTGTTTTCCCGTTGTAAATTTGAACAAAGAAGACACAAACAATAGATTGCACAATTTATTGCCTGGCATATTTCGCTGTATTTCGTCAGGTGCATACTACAGTAACAATTACATAAATGAAGCAAATAAGTGAATCCTCTATAACTGAAGTCCAATTTCAACAACTATCAAACATGACTGCCTATTTTTACCAAGGCAGTCTGTCTTTACGGCTGCCCTGGTAAAAACAAGCAGTCATGTTTGATCGCCTCTTTGCCATAACTGATGATGAAATAAAAATTTAAACTCTCTAAATTTCAGTATTAAATCTGTGTCGCCTGTTTGCCACAATTGTTGATGAAATAATGATTAAAACTCTACATTTCAGTGTTCTATCTCTGCCACCTCATTGCGGGATCCAGCCAAATACCCTCTCAAATTTTTTGAAGTTTGTATCCTTTTGACAGAACTTTGATTGGCTAAATTAATGGTGCCAGTGTCAGGAATTTGCTGTCTTCCCTGGTTTCATGAAATATTTGTATCGTTGTATTTTTTTTAAAGATTAAAAGAAAACAGCTCTCATACTGATTTCATGAGGATAGAAAAAATGAACGTAATCGTAACATGGGTCATTGCTAGCATCCATTGTGGGGGAAAACACAAATAGACCCACTGCCTGCCCAAATCATGTCGTAAGAGTTGGCTAATTGGGAGCTTCCTTTGAAGTCGGAGTACATCTGCCTGAGAGGCAAGGAACCAACAGTCTGCATGCAAATGAGTCAGACCTGTGAAACGGTTGTACACGCAACACTCAGGTTCTAGAACAGGACTAGAGTCCAGAAGTGGACGAACAACAAGAACTTTCTGCCGAAATTTACAGCCGGTGAGCGTGAGGAAAAAGAGGAGATATTCTTAGCTCAGGGGTCTTATGATTCAAATCCCCATCTCCCCAGATGAGTTCCAGGGCCCAGTAGGGATAGTACACCTGCTGCCCTTTAACCGGTGGGTCGTAGATGTGATCTAATTAAGATTTTGCTGAAAAAAATAGCCAACTGCTCTTTAAGAGTGCTTGCGAAAGAATCAGATCAAAAACAAGAAATCCTCATTGAGGCAAAGTTATAAATTTATTAAAAATTAATTATCATCCTTGGGGGGCAAATACACGAGGTTAAATGTGCTGTGAAGCCACAGCGTGTAGCGACTAGATGCTCACCTCAGGCCCGAAGGTCATGGGTTCACATCGGCATCGAGCCTGATTATTGTCAAAAATGACCTTGGCTCCCAGGTTGACCCAGCCTAAAATGGGTATCAGGTAAAATCCTGGAAAGTACAGGCGGATGATGTGATGTTGAAACATCACACACCAGGTGTCCATTGGTCTATAAAATGTAGATGTAGTACAGTATACCCGATATGCTGGTGGGCATGGAAAAGAGGTCCTTCATGTGCACTTTGGGTAACTGTGGGTGTGTGCATGTCGTTGTTCCTCTGTGAGCTGCTACCTGGAAGTTTACTGCCATGAGATTGGAAAGATCTCTATCTGGATGGCAGACAATAGGACCTGAAGGTTTGATACCTTGAGATTAAAGAATCTCCTACTGGTGGCAGACTGGGAGAATAAGCTCAGAATCCCCATTTGACTTGCAGGGAAGCTTTAATTAGGGCACCACTAACAGCTACACCAGCCAGGTGTGACCTGCAGTCCAAATCGCCTGCAGCTGGGATCGAACACTGCACCTTTACATTAAGAAGCACATTTTGCAATACCTAAGCCACAGATGCGACCCCCACAACAACCATGTCATGAAAGGTGACTTATTAGGGGTTTCCTAAAACTGGAAATGTCAGGCCAAATGGTTCAGCCTAGCTGTAAACCACAGCACAACATGCCAACTGTCATGACAGGACAGACACGAAGAAGAAGGCCTTAGACATGACATCAGCTTCCTGAACTCTTGATCAGACCTGGAATACACAGGTGCTAGCGGCAGTAAAAACATCTATAGGATTCCAGTCAAGATTCTCAATTTTATCGATTCCAGAGGAACCAGAGTCAATCAGCGTAAGTTTATTGCTACAGTTCTGCAACAGTCAGTAGTTAAGTGATTACTTAGAAAGTTACCATGGCGGTACAAATAAGCTAGATCTGTAAAACAGATGTGCACACAGAACTCAAGTCCTAAAACAGTGTTATTTGTCCAGAAGGCTAGTTTACCGCCAGTGAATGCAAAGACATAAAATCTCACCCAAGATGCCTTGCAGAAATTAGAACAATAATCGTTATGGCAAAGTTTGTCTTAAGTAAGGTGCAAAAGATTCTCGCTAACAAGAAAATGTCAATTTCAATGAGGAAAAAAAAAAAGAGTGTTAAAATGCTATGCAGAGCCAGTTTTTTTGTGTGCATGGAAAATATGGACAGTAAGCAAACAAGCTGAAAAACTTACTCGCAGCAGAGATGTGGTTTCTGAGAAGAATGCAACGGATATAATAGAAATATAGAAAAACACATGAAGCAGTCCTCACAGAGACAGATGAAAGCTGTTAGTGTTTTTGTGGACATGTTATAAGAAGGAATCAGCTTGTGACAACAGGCAAGTTTGGTGGAAAAAGAACACAAGCAAAACAAAAAGATCAATCCCTGGATGACCTAGCCAGATGGATGGGACGAGACAAAAATGTTGAACTGATACAGGATTCTAGTGATCGTGTGTGATGGCAAAACATGACCAGCACGGCACATCAAGATGATTATGAAAGCAAAGAAAAAGAATAAGATTAATGGACCGTGCAGCATAGCAGCCAAGTACTGATACCTAGCCTAGATGATAGATAACTTCTTATCTATCACAAAACATATTTCTATAACATTAGGTAACCCTCTCTGTTTAGTGCTGTTTGGTGCACTTCTGTGCTAAAGTAATCTTGAGTTCTGTTGAGTGCACTTCTGTATGCTAATCTTAAGTGCTGTTTGATGCACTTTTGTGATAGACTAATCTTTAGTGCAGTTTAGTTCACTTTTGTGATAAACTAATCTTTAGTGCTGTTTAGTGCACTTTTGTCATAAACTAATCTTTAGTGCCATTTAGTGCACTTTTGTGATAGACTAATCGTTAGTGCTGCTTGGTGCACTATTTTGTTGAAGTCATCTTGTCTCTCAGAGGATCAGCATAATACGTTTGCATGGTGCCTGAACTCTCTGGCAGTGAAATTGGATATGTGGTTTTTATTACTGTTTTTTTTTCTTTCTCTCTAAATGATCGCCTAGTAGAGTGGTGTAGATGTCAAACTTAGTGGATGTCTGCAGTATCTATGAATACAGTCTTGTTGAGGCATAAAACAAAACTGCAGATATAAGCTGATTACAAATAAGTGAAAAGAAGATTGCATTTGTTGCAGATATAACATTGATAAAGTAAATATATTGTATCTGTGAGCGGCATTGCAGCAGTTTACCTGGAAACCTAATGATCATGGATCAGATTTTCAATGAAGTAGATTGAAAAAAAAAAAAAACACCCTGAAAAACAACAACACTCTGACTTGATCTGCCAGGTTGACCCAGCATAAAAGAGTCACTTCCGGGTCTTCCTGTGTTGGTTGAGGGGGCGGAAATAGACCTCCTGCCCTTTTAACAACCGTGTTGTAAAAGTTGATAATTTGGCGATGTTTCTTTGAAGTCAAAGTGCATCTGCCTGAGAGGCAAGGAACCAACAGTCTGTATACAAATAAGCCAAATCTGTAAAATGGATGTGCATACAGTACTGAGACTCTGGAACACAACTAAGCTCCAGAGGTAGATAAACAAGCAGAACTTTCTGCCAGAGTTTGTCGTCAGTGAAGAAGAAGACTACAGCGACTACAGGTTAATCCTCAGTTTTAATATTTCATTTTTATTCTGATGTGGCTGAGAAGTTTAAGTTTGTTTCGGATCCCATCATAATGGAGTTTTTTACAAGAACCATTAGTGTCTGATTATTGTAATTCAGGGAGTATTGTGTTTCAGCATCATGACCATCAGTTAGGCAATAAAACAGAACAAAAAAGAAAAAACAGGGGATGTAACCAGGGACAAATGTAAGACTGGAAATAGAAAATCAGTTAAATACATATTTCAAACTGAAAACAGCTTTTTAAATTGGAAAGTAATTTTGTGTTAAATTTGTGTTAAATTTAATTTGTGCTGTCACCCAGTGTAGGTTAACTAATTCAGCTGCTGTCTCTATTTGTACCTCAAGACGATCGGTATCTTAACTTTGATTTTGCATGTCTAATTTTAGAAACCTTACGGGACTGGAAGCTGACACGCAGATTTTTTCTAGTTGACAGTCTGTCAACAAGGTCTGGGTCTGATAAAGGTAATAAAGGTTTGAAGATGAAATTGTTCTGTTGTAAATTAGAAATATTGGTCAGAAATTAGAAATATTCATAAACTTGAAATATTTGAAATAACCTATAACTGTTAGTCAGAAATTAGAAATATTAGTCATAATATTAGAACTATGAATCATCATCATCAGTTTCCACTTCTGCAATTAAGCGTTGTTGGGAGGAACAGTTTGTGATCCGCAATGACTCTTTCAGACTCTAGCCACATCCAGCTTTCTCAGCCACGCTGATAGATGGTTTAGCATCATCTTGAACATGAAACAAAGAACGTTTGAAATGCCACATCGCTGATCAGATGCGAAATGTTTATTAGTTCCAACAACTGTTTTCTCGGCCAGTGAACCAGAGGTATAAATGCCTAGGGTGACTAGATCGGCCACATATATGACATCAATGAATGGTTAATGATAAATCAGAATGGTTAATGATAAATCAGAACGGTTATGATAAACCAGAACAGTTAATGTTAAACCAGAACTGTTAAAGTTCCAAACTGGTACTTGTAGTCATAAATTAGATCTGTTAAGTCATAGATTTGAGAGCTGCCATGGTGTAGTGACTAGATTCTTGCTTGTGATTTTATGGTTGTGGGTTCAAATCTGCATGTAGCCATTTTTCTTCAAGCATGACCTTGGCTTTCAGGTCAGTCCAAACTCAGATGGGTTCCAGGTAAAGTCCTGGGAAGTAAAGGCAGCTGGCAGGATGCTAATCACATCATCCACTGAATGTAAGTTGGTCTGAAATTTAGGTCAAGCTCCATCTGCCCAATAAACCTAATGGCGGAGAAATAGATTAACAAAGTTATGGTGAGAAAAAAGTGTTAAAGTGTTATATAGAACCTATCTTGTTCTATGCATGTAAAATATGGACAATAAGCAGATAAGCTGGAAAACGTTTACTTGTGGCAGAGTTGTGGCTTCCGAGAAGAATGCAAAGATTATTATTGAAGGATAGAAAAACAAACGAGCTATTCTAACAGATGAAAGTCGTAAACTTATTCGAACAGTTAGAGGTAGACAGTCAATATTTTGTGTGCATATTATGAGAAGGTATGGACTAAAGAACTTGGTAACATCTGGCAGGATTGATGGAAAGAGAGCAAGAGGAAGGCAAAGAGATAAATATCTGGATGGTCTGGCCAGATGCATGGGTTGAGAGAAAAAAAATTGAACTTATCCATGATTCTTTTTGTCCTGTGATTTGGCAAAGCATTAGAGTCTGTGCTTACCGGCATGGCACATGATGATGATGAGGTCATAGACTAGGTATGTCAGGTCAGCAGTTTTGTGAAATGGGTGGAGCTTTCTTTCAGATGCTGCTTACGTCAGATACGCCAAGAACATCAAGCTGGTGGTTCAGCTGCAGGAGGGATCGGCTGACGGACATATCAACATCCCGTATTTTGAGATAGAGTATGATGATGTGTCAAAGGATTTGGCACTGAGCGGGACTAAAGTCCAAGTAAGTATGCTTGATTGATTCTGACATCACAGCAGTTACTGGAGATATCAATGTTAGTTTGTAGGCATATTTACCCATGTGGTTCTAGGGCCCTGTTGGGGGGAAAAACAGGATAGACCCACTAACCCCATAACAAAAAGGGGGCTGCGTGGTCTCGAGGCATGGTGTCCGCCTCGAGTGCTAGAGGTTCCGGGTTCAATTCCTGGTATGGGTTGGGATTTTTTTTTCACTTGGACTTCTAGTAATTCCCCTGGTCTCAGGGCAGTGAGATCGGTCGCCCGTGTGCATTGTTGCACATGTAAAAAATTCCGTGGCAGTTGGAAATCGAAAAGAGTAGCCTAACGGCACTACCCAGGCAAATATTTAATCAACCATGAATAATTCTACAAATTTAGCTGTGTGAGAGCCTAAGCTCCATTAAGATATGAATGTACAAAAAGAAAAAGAAGAGGAAGAGGAAGAAAGTTGGAAATACAAAATAAATATATTTTCTTTTTCTTTCTGTTCTCCCGGGGACTGGTTTTCAGATGAGAAGGCCACAGACCTATATGAAGTCTTTAGAGTGACGCATGTTGTCCCTCTGATCAATGAAACGTGGTTTCCATTAGAATGCCAACCGGCCAAACCTGGGATTTTCCTGCTGCATGTAGAGAGCTTGTCTGTATCACAGGATCAGTATTCTGTGGCACAGGTTCAGTATTCTGTGGCACAGGTTCAGTATTCTGTGGCACAGGTTCAGTATTCTGTGGCACAGGTTCAGTATTCTGTGGCACAGGTTCAGTATTCTGTGGCACAGGTTCAGTATTCTGTGGCACAGGTTTAGTGTTCTGTGGCACAGGTTGAGTGTTCTGTGGCACAGGTTCAGTATTCTGTGGCACAGGTTCAGTGTTCTGTGGTGCAGGTTCAGTATTCTGTGGCACAGGTTCAGTGTTCTGTGGCACAGGTTCAGTATTCTGTGGCACAGGTTCAGTATTCTGTGGTGCAGGTTTAGTATTCTGTGGTGCAGGTTCAGTATTCTGTGGCACAGGTTCAGTATTCTGTGGCACAGGTTCAGTGTTCTGTGGCACAGGTTCAGTGTTCTGTGGCACAGGTTCAGTGTTCTGTGACACAGGTTTAGTGTTCTGTGGCACAGGTTTAGTGTTCTGTGGCACAGGTTGAGTGTTCTGTGGCACAGGTTCAGTATTCTGTGGCACAGGTTCAGTGTTCTGTGGTGCAGGTTCAGTATTCTGTGGCACAGGTTCAGTATTCTGTGGCACAGGTTCAGTGTTCTGTGGCACAGGTTCAGTATTCTGTGGTGCAGGTTCAGTATTCTGTGGTGCAGGTTCAGTATTCTGTGGCACAGGTTCAGTATTCTGTGGCACAGGTTCAGTGTTCTGTGGCACAGGTTCAGTGTTCTGTGGCACAGGTTCAGTATTCTGTGACACAGGTTTAGTGTTCTGTGGCACAGGTTTAGTGTTCTGTGGCACAGGTTCAGTATTCTGTGGCACAGGTTTAGTGTTCTGTGGCACAGGTTCAGTATTCTGTAGCACAGGTTGAGTGTTCTGTGGCACAGGTTCAGTATTCTGTAGCACAGGTTGAGTGTTCTGTGGCACAGGTTCAGTGTTCTGTGGCACATGTTCAGTATTCTGTGGTGCAGGTTCAGTATTCTGTGGTGCAGGTTCAGTATTCTGTGGCACAGGTTCAGTATTCTGTGGCACAGGTTCAGTGTTCTGTGGCACAGGTTCAGTGTTCTGTGGCACAGGTTCAGTATTCTGTGACACAGGTTTAGTGTTCTGTGGCACAGGTTTAGTGTTCTGTGGCACAGGTTCAGTATTCTGTGGCACAGGTTTAGTGTTCTGTGGCACAGGTTCAGTATTCTGTAGCACAGGTTGAGTGTTCTGTGGCACAGGTTCAGTATTCTGTAGCACAGGTTGAGTGTTCTGTGGCACAGGTTCAGTATTCTGTGGCACATGTTCAGTATTCTGTGTCACAGGTTCAGTACTCTGTGGTGCAGGTCAACATGGGCAAAGTTGTGAATCCCCAGACTTGAATTTCTAGAACATATGTCTACAGAGTCTGTTGTGCCCAGTACACATTCTAAATATAATGGTCTGTTGCTTTTGTGTGAGGAGGTTGATTGGGTCTCACGATTGTATCAAAAATACACCATAACAGGGCCCCAGTCACGTGTCAATTGCGCACTTCCTAAAATTTGCGTACTTCCGCCACCGCCGAGAGCATCCCCACGCCGCATGAGCGGCATGGATTGGGTCTAAACTAGAACAGCAGCTACTGCATTTCCTGCAGCTGCGTTGATTTTATTTGCTCGTGAGTCCCAGCCCACAATCCACGCGGCGGGGATACTCTCGGCGGTGGCGTCCCCGGAAGTGCGCAAGTGGCACGTGACTAGGGCCCTATTAGGCTATATTTTCCGCCTTGATAATCTAGGACCGTTATTCGGAAGATAGCCCATACATACACCAATATTAGCTAATTTGATGTTCTATTTTCTTCATAAGAGCATCTTGGCTGTTCTTTAATATTTCCATTTAATTTTTGGGAGGGTGACTGTTGGATCATATTTGGATCCTCGCAGGTGCTACTCAGTCTGTGCTTTGTGTTGAAATTCTCTATGTGTGTTCTGTTGGAAGATCAGATCAGTTATGGAGACCTTATGTGCAGTAAATAGGTTAGTTGCGTATCCTTTACAGGATGTTGCAGAACTAATCCAACAGCCCCTGGCTGTTGTGGGGGTTTTCTAGGCAAATGTACGTCCAGTAGTTTGCCACTGCTTTCTGGACGGTCGGCTTTCTTGATACCACTGTCGAAACCAATGCAAGGCGCATGACCTGCAGCTGGGATCGAACCCGGCATCCCGGCATTATGAAGCGTTCACATCGACTTAGCCACAGAGCCGACGCAGTAAATAGAATTGCTTAAAAAATAACAAAAAACTCAACCCAAATCAACAACAGGCACCAAGAGAAGTTGTTTGAAATAACAGGTTCATCAATGCTTGTTTGTCCCACAGGTCTCCTTTAGCGTATCCTATTCTATGAGTCAGAGCACATATGTCAGAAACTTCCAGATTGCGACGGGCACTCTCAGCAGTCTGTCAGTTTTGTACGCAGGATATCGAACGTACGTCTGGAGCAAACGAGCTGGCCGTCTCACCATTGATTTCCCGACACTGATCAATTTCATATTCTACCTGTGTGGCGCCCTCTCTAATTGTTTTTTCGTGATTGTGTTTGGGGTGGCCTTCTATTTTTTCATATTTTACAAGGTAAGTTGCTGGTTGAATCATTTGCCAAACTTAACTGCATGAACATCACTATTTCTAGGTCGTAAGTCATAGAGGTCATAAGTAACAGAGGTTGTAAGTCACAGAGGTCATAAGTCACAGAGGTCGTAAGTCACAGAGGTTGTAAGTCACAGAGGTCATAAGTCACAGAGGTCATAAGTCACAGAGGTCATAAGTAACAGAGGTTGTTAGTTACAGAGGTTGTAAGTCAGAGGTCATAGGTCACAGAGTTCATAAGTCAGAGAGGTCGTTAGTCAGAGAGATCATAAGTCATAGAGGTCATAAGTAACAGAGGTTGTAAGTCACCGAGGTCATAGTCACAGAGATCGTAAGTCACAGAGGTCATAAGTCATAGAGGTTATAAGTCACAGAGGTCATAATTCACAGAGGTCATAAGTCACAGAGGTCATAAGTCAGGAAGAAGTTGAGTAGAGATCTAGCTTCCCTATTACAGCAGAAGACGAATGCCGATCAGCACAGAGAAGCTTCTCATACAAAGCATATTCATGTGAAAACGAAAATAATGTCCACAGATAAAACTGGCTGTCACCCAAAAAAAAAAAAATAAATGATGAAGAAATTGAAAATGTCACAAACTTTGAATATCTAGGCTCTATAATAAAAAGCAATGGAGACTGTTTGACAGAAATTAAAAGGAGGATGGCCATAGCAATGCAAAGATCGAACAGCCTTCAAAGTCTATGGTTAAGCACCAGCAAGGAGATAAAAATTAGAATTTTGAGAGCATGCATCTTCCCTGTGGCTACATACGGATGTGAGTCGTGGACTATCTCTCAGTCCTTAAGAAAGAGAATAGGGGCTTTTGAGCTGAAATGCTATAGAAAGATTCTCAGAATATCTTGGACAAAGAAGATGAGAAATATTGACATCCTAAAAGATCTGAACATCAAGAAAGATTGGCTTAAAAACAGCATTCTTTCTCGAAAGCTGAAATATTTTGGTCATATCAAGCGCCACAACGGACTGGAAAAAATTAAAACAGAAGGCATGGAATCAGGAAGGAGGGGCACGGGCCGACCGACACGAAGATGGGCACACGATATAAGTGACGCCTTGAGTGTGAAAGTGCATGACGCTGGAGAACTGGCGAGAGAACAAGTTTCTTTTTAGGCAGACCGTGATGAGAGCGACATTCTGCAAAGGACCTGCTTAATGATGAAGATGATGTTTGTTTTATATATGTGTTATTTTTAAAAAAAAGTTCATCTCAAAATTTAAAAAAATACCAATTTTTTTTAAAAATTAAAACCCTCACCACCTTTACTTCACAGGACTTAAAGTCCATGGTGTTTGGCATTGGTAGTCATGTCTATTCTAAATCTCCTGTACTTTCAGTCATCTCTGACACAGATGATTCTCTCTACCATGATGTCAAACTGTCCAGCATCTGTTCTCTCGGTCTCCCTCTGCCTCTCCTTCAACTTTTCTACCGTCACGATGTACTCCACTTTTCTGCTTCTCATCACATGACCAAAGAATGTAGATTGTCTCTTTCTGACAAATTTTCATCAACAGAGAATAATAAACAATATTTTCTGTTTCAGCGGCAGAATATTTATTTCCTGGCACACCCTGAAGGACAGGCCTTCGAGGAGTGGTTGGCCTTGTTTGGTGCTGCATTTGCTTTGAAAGCTCTGGCCCTTCTGCACATGATTGTGATGCAGAGCTCAGCCGACATTTTTCTCATCGACTGGGAACGTCCAGCGGGTCAGTCTGAACTGATAGGAGACTCAGAGAAACAGCCTGTCAAGAAAGTGGGTGGCTCTGTCTCCATCTGGAGAACTTACTTTGTTGCCAATGAATGGAATGAGATACAGGTATAGTTTGACATTTGTTGATGCTGATAGTTCTTCACAGTGTTATCTCAATGATACCAAGTTAACTTTTGCTCTCTTTTTCTTGTCCTTTCAATATTAGTTAGCATATTGGCAGTAGTATTTAATTCTGATGAATGTGTTGGTTTTTTTTTTTACAGCTGATTCAGGGACACATAGTTGACAGTTCAACACACAAAGTTGATAATTCACAACACAACCTTTCCCATGACAACCTCTCCCATGACATCTCCCGTGACAACATCTCCCATGACAACATCTCCTATGAGAACATCTGCCATGAAAACATCTCCCATGAAAACATCTGCTGTGAAAACATCTCCCATGACAACATCTCCCATGACAACCTCTCTCATGACATCTCCCGTGACAACATCTCCCGTGACAACATCTGCCATGACAACATCTCCTGTGACAGCATCTCCTGTTACAACATCTGCTATGAAAACATCTCCCATGACAACTTCTCCCATGACACAATCTCTCCCATGAAAGCCTCTCTCATGACAGCCTCTCTCATGATAGCCTCTCCCATGACATTTTCTTCAATGACAACCTCTCTAATGGCACTTTCTCCAATCAGCCTCTCATGACAACCTCTCCCATGACACTCTCCTTCCACAGCCTGCCATATAACACTCCCATGACATCCTCTCCCTTGATTAACACTGGTATGACACTCTCTCCCATGACAAATTCCCCCCTCCCCCCCCACGATATTATAATTACTTTGCTCATTGTTGTCAATCGGCAGACAAAAAGAAAGATCAACAGAGTGTTCCAGATTTTTGCAGTGCTGTTTTTCCTGGTGGTTGTTGGTTTCGAGGACACAACAACGAAAGATCCTGACGGAACGGTCAACAAGGGTCCAGATGTTTACATGAGTGCCCAGAGTCCAGTCTATAGAATGGCCTTGGCTTCTCTAGTGTATTTGCTTGTTGGTAAGTACATGTGATCTGAAACACTGTCATGGAGTTTTGAGGGTGTCAATTTCTGTGGTCACAAGGAAACTAGCGGTCAAACTGCTAAACAGCACCAGCAAGTTCAAGTCTTACCAGCAGATAGAATTGATTCAAAACAATGTTTTCTGAATTTAAATACATTGCAGAATTTATTGCCAGGCATATTTTTCTTTATCTTGCTTAAGTACATTACTAAAGAGTTATGTCAGCGTATAATGAAACCTAAAAACTTGATTAGTTCCTCTGGAATACACATCACAAGGTCTCTCTCGATATATTGTTCATGTAATTGCTAGAATTTCATGATTGTCATGTGAATTAGCAGGGTAACTTCAAATTTATAACAAATTCCTTATGTTTACATAGGAGGGGTTTGTTCACTTTAATTGTTAAAACTTAAGCTAGTCTTAGTGTTTACCTGTTTGGTGTGTGGTAAATTACACTGAAGACACTGTCCTTGTCAGTTACCTGTCCAGAATCAGATAAATGAGGTCCATTAGTAGAGGGGTCTTTCTTCTTAGTTAGATAGAATTTAGCCCATTTTGTCCCAGAAGGTTTTTGTTTAAAAACAAAAGAGATGTTTGGGATTAGAACACCAAAAGAAAATAATCATTAAATCGATCAGGAAACCACCAGCCCCAGCACAAGACGACTATTTTATTATGGACACAACTGATTACGTAACCACATGTACACAAAATTCAAGATAGGTGTATCAGCCATGTGCACCTGTGGAAATGTGCCCCAGACCGCAGAGCATGTACTCCAGGACTGCACCGATTTTGACACATTAAGGCAAACCTTTTGGCCAGAAAGAACAACAGTGGAAGGTAAACTCTATGGACCACTGAATGAACTAACAACGACAGTGAAATTTATACAAGAGACAAAACTGCTGATATAGATAACTTATTTCAGGCGAACAAAAGAAGAAGAAGATGGGATTAGAAATACTTACAATAATAGTGTTTTAAGAGGATGGGAGCTACCCAGATAGGTTCCAGGGCTCTATTTTTGGGGGTAAAAAGAAATAGACCTGCTGCCCCTCTAAGAAACATGTCATAAAAGGTGATTATATAGGCGTGTTTCCTTCAAAATCGGAGTGCATCTGCCTGAACGGCATGTAACCAACAGTTGGCATACAGATAAGTCAGATCTTTTAAACGGATTGATTCTTCATTTATAACTTGAAGTTCTGAAACAAGACCAAGGCCAATATGAGAACATCAGCATACAAATAAACCAGATATGTAAAACAGATGTGCACGCACATCTCAGGTTCTGGAACAAGACCAAAGTCTATCAGTGGATGAACCACCAGAACTTTCCGCCGGAGTTTACAGGTGGAGAATGCAAAAAAGAGGATCAAGAAGAAGAAGAAAAAATATTGACATTTTGCAGGATCAGCACAATAAATAAAAATATTGCATACAAATTAGTCAGATCTGTAAAACGGATGCACATGCAACAGGTTTTGGAACAGGACTGCAGTCCAGAAGTGGATGAACAACCATAACTTTCCACCAGAGTTTACAGCCAGTGACCGCGAAGAAGAAGAAGAAGATGGGATGTCAGTCATAGTAAGCCCCGCCCAACATTCAGCTCTAACAGAGGATGGGTCGTACTGGCTACTGTTACAAGGTAGCTCAGTCAAAACAGCTTTTGAAAGATTTTAATTGAATCTTATTGAATGAAAATAATTCTGCTGAATCTTATCTTATAGCTGTTGTTCAAGCCATCTTCTTTGTGTTTGTGTACGAACGATTTATTTCCGATGACATCCGAGAATTTGTTGACCTCTGCTCGATGAGCAATGTCAGCGTATTTATCATGGCTCATGCAGAGTTTGGGTACTACATCCATGGCCGCTCAGTTCATGGTCGTTCAGACGTCAATTTGAAAGAGATGTTTGAAATGCTGAGTCGAGAAGAGGTGCGTTACAACATTTAACTTTGAAAATAAAGTGTGTCTGAAGCTGAACTTTTATAATAAATGTTATTATAATAATTTGTGATTGTAGTTGAACTTTTATAAAAAGTAGTGTTTTTAGTTTAAATTTTATAATAAGTTGTGTTTGTAGTTGAACTTTTATAAGAAGTTGTGTTTGTAGTAGTTGCCCTTTAATGATAAGTTCTGTTTTTAGTTGAACTTAAATGAGAAGTTTGTACTTTGAGTTAAACTTGTATAATAAGTTGCGTTTGTAGTTTACTTTTAAAATAAGTTGTGTTTGTAGCTGAACTTTAAAATAAGTTGTGTTTGTAGCTGAACTTTAAAATAAGTTGTGTTTGTAGATGAACTTTTATAATAAGTTATGTTCGTAGTTGAACTACTGAAATAAATTGTATCTGTAGTTGCTGCTTTACTATTTTATGGGAGTCACTGCTGTGCAATATCTAGCATGCTTGCATGCTAGTCCAGTAGTGTCATGTTCCCCTGTGTGGGTTCCGGGGCCCCATTGTGGGGAAAACAAGAATAGACCCACTGCCTCCCCAAAAGCATGTCGTAAGAGTCGACTAATTGGGAAGCTTCCTTTGAAGTCGAAGTGCATCTGCCGGAGAGGCAAGGAACCAAAAGTCTGTATTCAAGAGAATGAGATCTGTAAAACTGATGCACATGCAACACTCAGGTTCTGTAGCAGGACTGCAGTTCAGTAATGGACGAGCAACCAGAACTTTCCGCCAGAGTGTACAGCTGGTGAACGCGAAGAAGAAGAAGAAGAAGAAGTGTCATGTTCAAATTGTCTTGAGGCAGATTACGGAGACCCAGACTTAAACATGGAGACCAAGAAAGGTCCTCGGCAGTAGACATGATTTAACTTAGTCACTGAAATAATTTAGCGTAAGTTTGATGGATGCTTAGGATTTAATTGACCGTTGTTTTTTTTTCCCCGTCAGAAAGATCTAGTTGGCCAGAGGGGTTTGGTTCCCAACACGGAGCAGCAGACTTTCTCAATGGCCTTGCCGAAACGATTGCGCCAGAAGTATGAAACAGTGTACATGCCTGTCCAGTTGGAGGTGTGTAGAACTAGTCTGCCTTTGTGTCGCCTGTTGCAGTGTTTCCCGGAAAATAAGACCGGGCCTTATATTAAATTTTCCCCCAAAAGATGCTTATTTTCAGGGGGTGTCTTATTTTTTTCATCTAGGAGAATCAACATTATTCAAGTACAAAAATACACATTTATTCAAGTATAAAATTCTACAATTTTAAAACACCCTGCTGTCCCAGCTGAGATAAAAAGACAAATTATAAATACAATCTTTATACCGACATTAGGTTATCAATGTCAGACTTGGACATTAACAAAAGAACACGAGAGAAGACTAACCACCTGTGAAATGAGATGTTTGAGAATGGCTGCGAATAAAACCAGAAGAGATCGAGTGAGAAACGATGTGATTACAAGAACTATTGGAACCATACCCATCGTTAAATTTATTGAGAAGCAAAGAATGAAATGGTTTGGTCACCTAATGAGAATGGAACCAACGATGCCAGCATCAAGAGCATACAACATGAAAATCGAAACAACAAGAGGCAGGGAAAGACCAAGAAGAAGATGGATTGAAGGAGTCACGGACAACCTGAGACTTCATAACATCACGGCATATGAAGCGACTGAGCGCGCCCTGGCTCGGTTGCCGATCATCTGATAGACTGCGACGCCTAGCGGCACAAGCAGATTTTGACAAAAGAAGAAAGAAGAAGGAAGCAACAGCTGTAAACTAGTTCAGTCCAGAATTATGATGATAAAAGGACATGGTTGTCACCTTCAGTTTACTCTGGTGAAACAGACGGTTACTTTTGAATGTAGTCAATTTTGTGTTTCATTTGGAAGGATTGACTTTTTTGCTTCATTTTAATCAGTTGTTACTGTAGTATGCACCTAGTGAGATACAGCGAAAATGAATATGCCAGGGAGTAAACTGTATATTCAGTTTGCCTCTGTGCTATGTAAATATGCTTACTAGTGATTTATTAAAGTGATAATAATTTGTGGACATTTTTGTTTAGACTGCCTCAGCTGCCAGTCGGGGAGGACCTGGCAGGGGTCGAGAGAAGAGCATCGAGGCTTATGGGATTCTCAACAAATTCTTGTGTGCATTCATTGATCATGTAAGTGCCTTCTTCTAAGTTCTTGTGTGCATTCATTGATCATGTAAGTGCTTCTTCTAAGGTCTTGTGTGCATTCATTGATCATGTAAGTCCTTCTTCTAAGGTCTTGTGTGCATTCATTGATCATGTAAGTGCCTTCTTCTAAGGTCTTGTGTGCATTCATTGATCATGTAAGTCCTTCTTCTAAGTTCTTGTGTGCATTCATTGATCATGTAAGTGCTTCTTCTAAGTTCTTGTGTGCATTCATTGATCATGTAAGTGCCTTCTTCTAAGTTCTTGTGTGCATTCATTGATCATGTAAGTGCTTCTTCTAAGTTCTTGTGTGCATTCATTGATCATGTAAGTGCCTTCTTCTAAGTTCTTGTGTGCATTCATTGATCATGTAAGTGCCTTCTTCTAAGGTCTTGTGTGCATTCATTGATCATGTAAGTCCTTCTTCTAAGGTCTTGTGTGCATTCATTGATCATGTAAGTCCTTCTTCTAAGTTCTTGTGTGCATTCATTGATCATGTAAGTCCTTCTTCTAAGGTCTTGTGTGCATTCATTGATCATGTAAGTCCTTCTTCTAAGGTCTTGTGTGCATTCATTGATCATGTAAGTCCTTCTTCTAAGGTCTTGTGTGCATTCATTGATCATGTAAGTGCCTTCTTCTAAGGTCTTGTGTGCATTCATTGATCATGTAAGTCCTTCTTCTAAGTTCTTGTGTGCATTCATTGATCATGTAAGTGCTTCTTCTAAGTTCTTGTGTGCATTCATTGATCATGTAAGTGCCTTCTTCTAAGTTCTTGTGTGCATTCATTGATCATGTAAGTGCTTCTTCTAAGTTCTTGTGTGCATTCATTGATCATGTAAGTGCCTTCTTCTAAGTTCTTGTGTGCATTCATTGATCATGTAAGTGCCTTCTTCTAAGGTCTTGTGTGCATTCATTGATCATGTAAGTCCTTCTTCTAAGGTCTTGTGTGCATTCATTGATCATGTAAGTCCTTCTTCTAAGTTCTTGTGTGCATTCATTGATCATGTGAGTGCCTTCTTCTAAGTTCTTGTGTGCATTCATTGATCATGTAAGTGCCTTCTTCTAAGTTCTTGTGTGCATTCATTGATCATGTAAGTGCCTTCTTCTAAGTTCTTGTGTGCATTCATTGATCATGTAAGTCCTTCTTCTAAGGTCTTGTGTGCATTCATTGATCATATAAGTCCTTCTTCTAAGGTCTTGTGTGCATTCATTGATCATGTAAGTCCTTCTTCTAAGGTCTTGTGTGCATTCATTGATCATGTAAGTCCTTCTTCTAAGGTCTTGTGTGCATTCATTGATCATATAAGTCCTTCTTCTAAGGTCTTGTGTGTATTCATTGATCATGTAAGTGCCTTCTTCTAAGTTCTTGTGTGCATTCATTGATCATGTAAGTGCCTTCTTCTAAATTCTTGCGTGCATTCATTGATCATGTAAGTCCTTCTTCTAAGGTCTTGTGTGCATTCATTGATCATATAAGTCCTTCTTCTAAGGTCTTGTGTGCATTCATTGATCATGTAAGTCCTTCTTCTAAGGTCTTGTGTGCATTCATTGATCATGTAAGTCCTTCTTCTAAGGTCTTGTGTGCATTCATTGATCATATAAGTCCTTCTTCTAAGGTCTTGTGTGCATTCATTGATCATGTAAGTTCTTCTTCTAAGGTCTTGTGTGCATTCATTGATCATGTAAGTCCTTCTTCTAAGGTCTTGTGTGCATTCATTGATCATATAAGTCCTTCTTCTAAGGTCTTGTGTGTATTCATTGATCATGTAAGTGCCTTCTTCTAAGTTCTTGTGTGCATTCATTGATCATGTAAGTGCCTTCTTCTAAATTCTTGTGTGCATTCATTGATCATGTAAGTCCTTCTTCTAAGGTCTTGTGTGCATTCATTGATCATATAAGTCCTTCTTCTAAGGTCTTGTGTGCATTCATTGATCATGTAAGTCCTTCTTCTAAGGTCTTGTGTGCATTCATTGATCATATAAGTCCTTCTTCTAAGGTCTTGTGTGCATTCATTGATCATGTAAGTCCTTCTTCTAAGGTCTTGTGTGCATTCATTGATCATGTAAGTCCTTCTTCTAAGGTCTTGTGTGCATTCATTGATCATGTAAGTCCTTCTTCTAAGGTCTTGTGTGCATTCATTGATCATGTAAGTCCTTCTTCTAAGGTCTTGTGTGCATTCATTGATCATGTAATTCCTTCTTCTAAGGTCTTGTGTGCATTCATTGATCATGTAAGTCCTTCTTCTAAGGTCTTGTGTGCATTCATTGATCATGTAAGTCCTTCTTCTAAGTTCTTGTGTGCATTCATTGATCATGTAAGTGACTTCTTCTAAGTTTTTGTTTTTTATTTTTTTAAAACATGTTTGAGGTAATTGAACTCCAAGCAGATACATCAGGCTTCAGTCTCCACCAGCAGCAGATAAGTGTGCTACTTAACACTGTTTGACAGTGAGTTTTGCTGTGTGGCAGGCAATCTTGGGATGTAAAGAAAGAAAGTAGGAAGAGATTTGAAACACTGGAGATAGTGTTTCTGTGTTACATGTGATTACCTGCTACAGCCAGAGTTAAACAACAGTTGCAAACAATAGACACTGTTATAATAAAAAGACAACATAGATTCTTTTGTGGCAGGTAACAAGAAGGGGCATTTGAAAACACATGCCTGGGGAAAATGTTGAACAAAAATGTGGTAATAGGATGAATTCAAGAGGTTGAAGAAGTGAGCCAGAGTCCTTCAGGGACATTGATTACGTTGTGAAGGAGAGCAGTTTCATAGTTACAATTCTGGTCTTTTGTACCCACAGTCCTTGAGGGATATTGATTACGTTGTGAAGGAGAGGAGTTTCATAGAAAAGATCTTGGACACCGAGTTCTTGGAGCTAACAGATAAAGGAATCTTCTATAACGGTGAGTCATTTTTGTACCATTTTACATCTTTCCATGTCCTTCCTTCCTTCCTTCCTTCCTTCCTTCCTTCCTTCCTTCCTTCCTTCCTTCCTTCCTTCCTTCCTTCCTTCCTTCCTTCCTTCCTTCCTTCCTTCCTTCCTTCCTTCCTTCCTTCCTTCCTTCCTTCCTTCCTTCCTTCCTTCCTTCCTTCCTTCCTTCCTTCCTTCCTTCCTTCCTTCCTTCCTTCCTTCCTTCCTTCCTTCCTTCCTTCCTTCCTTCCTTCCTTCCTTCCTTCCTTCCTTCCTTCCTTCCTTCCTTCCTTCCTTCCTTTCCTTCCTTCCTTCCTTCCTTCCTTCCTTCCTCCTTCCTTCCTTCCTTCCTTCCTTCCTTCCTTCCTTCCTTCCTTCCTTCCTTCCTTCCTTCCTTCCTTCCTTCCTTCCTTCCTTTCCTTCCTTCCTTCCTTCCTTCCTTCCTTCTTCCTTCCTTCCTTCCTTCCTTCCTTCCTTCCTTCCTTTCCTTCCTTCCTTCCTTTCCTTCCTTCCTTCCTTCCTTCCTTCCTTCCTTCCTTCCTCCCTATCTCCCTCCCTATCTCCCTCCCTTCCTCCCTTCCTTCCTTCCTTCCTCCTTCCTTCCTTCCCTTCCTTCCTTCCTTCCTTCCTTCCTTCCTTCCTTCCTTCCTTCCTTCCTTCCTTCCTTCCTTCCTTCCTTCCTTCCTTCCTTCCTTCTTCCTTCCTTCCTTCCTTCCTTCCTTCCTTCCTTCCTTCCTTCCTTCCTTCCTTCCTTCCTTCCTTCCTTCCTTCCTTCCTTCCTTCCTTCCTTCCTTCCTTCCTTCCTTCCTTCCTTCCTTCCTTCCTTCCTTCCTTCCTTCCTTCCTTCCTTCCTTCCTTCCTTCCCTCCCTCCCTCCCTCCCCTCCCTCCCTCCTCCCTCCCTCCCTCCCTCCCTCCCTCCTCCTCCCTCCCTCCCTCCCTCCCTCCCTCCCTCCCTCCCTCCCTCCCTCCCTCCCTCCCTCCCTCCTCCCCCTCCCTCCCTCCCCTCCCTCCCTCCCTCCCTCCCTCCCTCCCTCCCTCCTCCCTTCCTTCCTTCCTTCCTTCCTTCCTTCCTTCCTTCCTTCCTTCCTTCCTTCCTTCCTTCCTTCCTTCCTTCTCCCCCCACCACTCTGGGCCTCTGTCCAAATTTTTGACACCCTGATGACTAGTTACTGATTTCTTCTCCTTCTTTGCTCACTGGCTGTAAGCTCCAGCACAAAAGTCCTGGTTGTTCCTCCATTTGGACTTTAATTTTGTGCTAGGATAGCAGTTTTGCTGCCTGAGCTACTGAGTTTAGTGCTTGGTGCAGCCCTGCGAGCTGTGTTTTTCCTGTGAAATGCCTTTCATTTGCTCAGTGGTTGTGTTGTGGTGTTCAATATGGCTGGTAGCCAGTTTACATGTGAGCTGGTGGAATACCTTTTATAGTATTTTATGTGTGTATGGCCAACTTGTCGTGCCTGACTACTTCCATCAAAGGCGGACTGTATTTCTGGTGGTGACTGTTAACTTTTGGCACCTCTGGCAACTGAAATGTGTATTTTTTGCATCTGCATATTTCTGGACTGTTCCAGGATTAATTGTTTGTTCACCAGTTTTTCAAACGCAACAGTGAGGGACATTTAATTTGATTTGCACTAGCACAGGAACGGAGCAAATATGGGGTGACTTGATTGTGGTGAAGTTAAAACCTTGACTAAGGCTAAGGCCAGGGCCTGAGTTTTGCGTGTACATCTGTTTTACTGGCTTATTTGTATTCAGCTGGTTGTTCCTTGCCTTGCCGCTTGGGCAGATGCACTCTGACTTTGAAGGAAGTCCCCAATTAGTCAACTTCTACAATATGCTTATTTAGGAGGCAGTGGGTCTGTTCTTGTTTTTCTCCCAATGGGGCCCCGGAACTCATATGGGGAAATTACCGATTTAAGAACTGAAATCAAAGCACATCGGGCATTCACTTAGAGGCTCCATCTCCCACTGAACATGTCTTAAGGTGTAGATGCCAAATGTTTCCTTAGCACACAGATTATACACACATCATTTTTGCCCTCTTATAAATCCCTATGGGCTGGGTACACACCTGTTTTCATGTCCAGACATTCTCACACCCTGAGATTACAAGGTCTCAGTCTGGACAGCAGGCCAACAGGGCAAAACCCTAGGTCTCAGTCTGGACAGCAGATCAACAGGGCAAAACCCTAGGTCTCAGTCAGGACAACAGGCCAACAGGGCAAAACCTGGGTCTCAGTCAGGACAACAGGCCAACAGGGCAAAACCCTAGGTCTCAGTCAGGACAACAGGCCAACAGGGCAAAACCTGGGTCTCAGTCAGGACAGCAGGCCAACAGGGCAAAACCCTAGGTCTCAGTCTGGACAGCAGACCAACAGGGCAAAACCTGGGTCTCAGTCTGGACAACAGGCCAACAGGGCAAAACCTGGGTCTCAGTCTGGACAGCAGACCAACAGGGCAAAACCTGGGTCTCAGTCTGGACAGCAGGCCAACAGGGCAAAACCCTAGGTCTCAGTCAGGACAGCAGACCAACAGGGCAAAACCTGGGTCTCAGTCAGGACAACAGGCCAACAGGGCAAAACCCTAGGTCTCAGTCTGGACAGCAGATCAACAGGGCAAAAACCTAGGTCTCAATCTGGACAGCAGGCCAACAGGGCAAAAACCTAGGTCTCAGTCTGGACAGCAGGCCAACAGGGCAAAACCTAGATACCCTGCTCAACCTTTCAAGGAATAATGCAGGCATCAGAATTGGCTGCACCAGCCTGATGTAATCTGCAGCCTTGTGTGAACAAGGATTAATGTGATTTATTATGGACTGAGCTTGACGGCAATGAGGTTGGGAGGTTGGGGAAAAAGGGGGGAGGGGGGGGGGGCACATGTACAGTGAGGTCAGAATAAGTAAAATTCTGCACATACTGTGAGAGCAAAAGCATTATGTTGTACATTAAGTTGTACTTGGAACATCAGCAGAATGGGTGACAAAGAGACGGAACTGGTGGAATTCATGATTAAAAATAGAACATAATAATGAGAATGTTTACACCAATGGTATCACAATCAAACAAGTACAAGAATTTGAATATCTAGGAAGCATATTTACAGAAAATGGCAGACACGATAGAGAGATAAAAGCTAGAGTACATAGGGCAAACACTGTCACCTACCAGTGAGCCACATTGCTTAGACACCCAAATATCCCCCTTCTGGCACAACAGCAAATGATTAATAGCTTAGTGATTGATACTTTATGTTATCAGCGCCAAACGTGGACAGTGAATAGGGCACTAGAACAAAAAATAACTGCCTCTGAAATGCAGTCTCCATAAGGTCATTAAAAACACAAGAAGGCACTGGGCCACAAATACCAGCATTAGTAGGTCAAATATAGGACCCTTTTCCACACCTTCAGGTGTATTGGGCATATAGGGCTAGACCTATATTTTATAGACCAGTCGGCACTTGGTGGGTGATGTTGTCAGCACCATGCTGGCCACCTTTACTTCCATGGTCTTCGCCTGGGAGAGACGATCATTTTAGAAAGAAAAAAAAAGGCAAAGTATTAGCGAGAAATTTGGAGTATAACCATGTCAGGATTATACGGACTGACAAAGAATGAAATGGTTCAACCATCCAGTACGAATGTAGCCAGACCAAACTGCATCTGAGATTTTTTAAAGCAGAACATCTGGGAGGAAGGCGAGGAGAAGACGGAGAAAGAGATGGATACATGTACCTGAAACCGAGAAGTGCAACACAAATACAGAAAGCCACGACACTGGGCTACAACCTGGCATCAGTGAGATACCAAAACAAGACACTGGGCTACAACCTGGCAACAGTGAGATACCAAAACAAGACACTGGGCTACAGCCTGGCATCAGTGAGACAACAAAACAAGACACTGGGCTACAACCTGGCATCAGTGAGATACAACAAAACAAGACACTGGGCTACAACCTGGCATCAGTGAGATACCAAAACCAAGACACTGGGCTACAACCTGGTATCAGTGAGATACCAAAACAAGACACTGGGCTACAACCTGGCATCAGTGAGATACCAAAACAAGACACTGGGCTACAACCTGGCATCAGTGAGATACCAAAACAAGACACTGGGCTACAACCTGGCATCAGTGAGATACCAAAACAAGACACTGGGCTACAACCTGGCATCAGTGAGACAACAAAACAAGACACTGGGCTACAACCTGGCATCAGTGAGATACCAAAACAAGACACTGGGCTTCAGCCTGGCATCAGTGAGACAACAAAACCAAGACACTGGGCTACAACCTGGTATCAGTGAGATGACAAAACCATGACACTGGGCTACAACCTGGTATCAGTGAGACGGCAAAACCATGACACTGGGCTACAGCCTGGTATCAGTGAGACAACAAAACCAGGACACTGGGCTACAACCTGGTATCAGTGAGACAACAAAACCAGGACACTGGGCTACAACCTGGTATCAGTGAGACAACAAAACCAGGACACTGGGCTACAACCTGGTATCAGTGAGACAACAAAACCAAGACACTGGGCTACAGCCTGGTATCAGTGAGATAACAAAACCAAGACACTGGGCTACAACCTGGTATCAGTGAGATAACAAAACCAAGACACTGGGCTACAACCTGGTATCAGTGAGATAACAAAACAAGACACTGGGCTACAACCTGGCATCAGTGAGACAACAAAACAAGACACTGGGCTACAACCTGGCATCAGTGAGATAACAAAACAAGACACTGGGCTACAGCCTGGCAACAGTGAGACAACAAAACAAGACACTGGGCTACAACCTGGCATCAGTGAGATAACAAAACAAGACACTGGGCTACAACCTGGTATCAGTGAGACAACAAAACCAGGACACTGGGCTACAACCTGGTATCAGTGAGACAACAAAACCAGGACACTGGGCTACAACCTGGTATCAGTGAGACAACAAAACCAGGACACTGGGCTACAACCTGGTATCAGTGAGACAACAAAACCAAGACACTGGGCTACAACCTGGTATCAGTGAGATGAGAAAACCATGACACTGGGCTACAACCTGGTATCAGTGAGACAACAAAACCAGGACACTGGGCTACAACCTGGTATCAGTGAGACAACAAAACCAAGACACTGGGCTACAACCTGGTATCAGTGAGATGAGAAAACCAAGACACTGGGCTACAACCTGGTATCAGTGAGACAACAAAACCAAGACACTGGGCTACAACCTGGTATCAGTGAGACAACAAAACCAAGACACTGGGCTACAACCTGGTATCAGTGAGACAACAAAACCAAGACACTGGGCTACAACCTGGTATCAGTGAGACAACAAAACCAAGACACTGGGCTACAACCTGGTATCAGTGAGATGAGAAAACCAAGACACTGGGCTACAACCTGGTATCAGTGAGATGAGAAAACCAAGACACTGGGCTACAACCTGGTATCAGTGAGACAACAAAACCAAGACACTGGGCTACAACCTGGTATCAGTGAGACAACAAAACCAGGACACTGGGCTACAACCTGGTATCAGTGAGACAACAAAACCAAGACACTGGGCTACAACCTGGTATCAGTGAGACAACAAAACCAAGACACTGGGCTACAACCTGGTATCAGTGAGACAACAAAACCAGGACACTGGGCTACAGCCTGGCATCAGTGAGACAACAAAACAAGACACTGGGCTACAGCCTGGCATCAGTGAGACAACAAAACAAGACACTGGGCTACAGCCTGGCATCAGTGAGACAACAAAACGACAACACTGGGCTACAGCCTGGCAACAGTAAGACAACAAAACGACAACACTGGGCTACAGCCTGGCATCAGTAAGACAACAAAACGACAACACTGGGCTACAGCCTGGCATCAGTAAGACAACAAAACGACAACACTGAGCTACAATCTTTCATCAGTAAGGTATTAAAACCACTACACTGGGCTACAACTGTTCATCACTGAGACAACAAAACAAGACACTGGGCTACAACCTGGTATCACTGAGACAACAAAACAAGACACTGGGCTACAACCTGGCATCAGTGAGACAACAAAACAAGACACTGGGCTACAACCTGGCATCAGTGAGACAACAAAACAAGACACTGGGCTACAGCCTGGTATCACTGAGACAACAAAACAAGACACTGGGCTACAACCTGGTATCACTGAGACAACAAAACAAGGCACTGGGCTACAGCCTGGTATCACTGAGACAACAAAACAAGACACTGGGCTACAACCTGGTATCACTGAGACAACAAAACAAGGCACTGGGCTACAACCTGGTATCACTGAGACGACAAAAGAAGAAGTGCATAGAATGTGGTAAATTTTATGCAAATCAGGGGTGAATATTCTGCTAATTCATAGATTAAAGTGTGTGAAAAGATGCAATTGTTTTGTTTGTTGCCGTTTATCTGTCATTTTACTTCTTCTGGCTTTTTATCCAGTGAAAGTAAGAGAAAACTTGCCTATGGCTAACTGTTATTGTTTTAATGCATGAATAACCAGATAACGGCCACTCATTTGACAACGTGCTCTTCTATGGCAACGAATTTATGCTGATCATCTTTGACACGTTGCTTTTTTGCATCGTTGATTTAATATTCATGGATTACGTCCTGGCCGGTGTTGTCACCTACATCATTACGCAGGTGAGCCCAGTTTTCATATTTTGCCTGTTGTTCTACCTGTAATTTAAGAAGCTGTCCTTCTACCTGTATTTTCTTCTTCTTTTTTGTCATACTTATCGTCATCATCGTGTGTCGTGCCGGTGAGCGTAGGCTGTAATTTTCCACCATCTCACGTGGACACCAGAATCGCGGAACAGTTCATTGTTTTTGTCTCGCCCCATCCATCTGACCAGACCACCCAGACATTTATCTTTTTGCCTTTCTCTTGCTCTCTTTCCATCAATCTTGCCAGTTGATACCGAGTTCTCGTCCATTCCTCCTCATAAATGCCTGTAATTCCCACTTTCGTAGTGGTGGTGAGGGCGTTAACCCTGAGGATTCAAGGCTACATTGCTAGCGCTGTCGTCAGAGACTGTACTTCTCTACTTCTCTTAACATGTCCAGACAAACTTTGATTGTCCACTGCTTATGCCGTAAAGCCTCACGGAGACGAGTTGGATGTAGTTTCCTGTCTTCTGCTAGTTGTGAAGCTTATGTTAATTGTATATTGTGTTTCTGTAATGTCTCTTTACTCCCTCCACCCATATTTTTCTTGGTCAGCCTCTTGTCTTGTAACTTGCTGTTCTCAATCTCTATCTGTGAAGCTGCCTATTTGTCTTATTTTTCATGTACTTGAAGGCTGGCTGCATGTGTTTGTCAATTTTTGCTTGCTTATATATGTACCTAACTAAATGATTCACTATTTAACAACCTGTCTGTCTGAATGAATCACTATTTAACAACCTGTCTGTCTGGATGAATCACTATTTAACCACCTGTCTGTCTGGATGAATCACTATTTAACAACCTGTCTGTCTGAATGAATCACTATTTAACAACCTGTCTGTCTGAATGAATCACTATTTAACAACCTGTCTGTCTGGATGAATCACTATTTAACCACCTGTCTGTCTGGATGAATCACTATTTAACAACCTGTCTGTCTGAATGAATCACTATTTAACAACCTGTCTGTCTAAATGAATCACTATTTAACAACCTGTCTGCCTGAATGAATCACTATTTAACAACCTGTCTGTCTGAATGAATCACTATTTGACCACCTGTCTATCTGAATGAATCACTATTTAACAATCTTTGTCTGCTTGCCTGTCTGTCAACCTAAAACTGTTTTTTTCTGTGATGAATTTGTTTGTCTGCTGTCCTTCTGACTGTGTCTGTACATCACTTTGTCTGCCTGCTGTCCTTCTGACTGTGTCTGTACATCACTTTGTCTGCCTGCTGTCCTTCTGACTGTGTCTGTACATCACTTTGTCTGCCTGCTAACTGTCCCTCTGACTGTGTCTGTACATCACTTTGTCTGCCTGCTGTCCTTCTGACTGTGTCTGTACATCACTTTGTCTGCCTGCTGTCCTTCTGACTGTGTCTGTACATCACTTTGTCTGCCTGCTGTCCTTCTGACTGTGTCTGTACATCACTTTGTCTGCCTGCTGTCCTTCTGACTGTGTCTGTACATCACTTTGTCTGCCTGCTGTCCTTCTGACTGTGTCTGTACATCACTTTGTCTGCCTGCTGTCCTTCTGACTGTGTCTGTACATCACTTTGTCTGCCTGCTAACTGTCCCTCTGACTGTGTCTGTACATCACTTTGTCTGCCTGCTGTCCTTCTGACTGTGTCTGTACATCACTTTGTCTGCCTGCTGTCCTTCTGACTGTGTCTGTACATCACTTTGTCTGCCTGCTAACTGTCCTTCTGACTGTGTCTGTACATCAATTTGTTTGTCTGCTGTCCTTCTGACTGTGTCTGTACATCACTTTGTCTGCCTGCTGTCCTTCTGACTGTGTCTGTACATCACTTTGTCTGCCTGCTGTCCTTCTGACTGTGTCTGTACATCACTTTGTCTGCCTGCTGTCCATCTGACTGTGTCTGTACATCACTTTGTCTGCCTGCTGTCCTTCTGACTGTGTCTGTACATCACTTTGTCTGCCTGCTAACTGTCTTTCTGACTGTGTCTGTACATCACTTTGTCTGCCTGCTAACTGTCCTTCTGACTGTGTCTGTACATCACTTTGTCTGCCTGCTAACTGTCCTTCTGACTGTGTCTGTACATCACTTTGTCTGCCTGCTAACTGTCCTTCTGACTGTGTCTGTACATCACTTTGTCTGCCTGCTGTCCTTCTGACTGTGTCTGTACATCACTTTGTCTGCCTGCTGTCCTGCTGACTGTGTCTGTACATCACTTTATCTGCCTGCTGTCCTTCTGACTGTGTCTGTACGACACTTTGTCTGCCTGCTGTCCTTCTGACTGTGTCTGTACATCACTTTGTCTGCCTGCTGTCCTTCTGACTGTGTCTGTACATCACTTTGTCTGCCTGCTAACTGTCCTTCTAACTGTGTCTGTACATCACTTTGTCTGCCTGCTAACTGTCCTTCTGACTGTGTCTGTACATCACTTTGTCTGCCTGCTAACTGTCCTTCTGACTGTGTCTGTACATCACTTAGTCTGCCTGCTAACTGTCCTTCTGACTGTGTCTGTACATCAATTTGTCTGCCTGCTGTCCTTCTGACTGTGACTGTACATCACCGTGTCTGCCTGCTAACTGTCGTTCTGACTGTGTCTGTACATCACTTTGTCTGCCTGCTAACTGTCCTTCTGACTGTGTCTGTACATCACTTTGTCTGCCTGCTGTCCTTCTGACTGTGTCTGTACATCACTTTGTCTGCCTGCTAACTGTCCTTCTGACTGTGTCTGTACATCACTTTGTCTGCCTGCTGTCCTTCTGACTGTGTCTGTACATCAATTTGTCTGCCTGCTAACTGTCCTTCTGACTGTGTCTGTACATCACTTTGTCTGCCTGCTAACTGTCCTTCTGACTGTGTCTGTACATCAGTTTGTCTGCCTGCTGTCCTTCTGACTGTGTCTGTACATCACTTTGTCTGCCTGCTGTCCTTCTGACTGTGTCTGTACATCACTTTGTCTGCCTGCTAACTGTCCTTCTGACTGTGTCTGTACATCAGTTTGTCTGCCTGCTGTCCTTCTGACTGTGTCTGTACATCACTTTGTCTGCCTGCTAACTGTCTTTCTGACTGTGTCTGTACATCACTTTGTCTGCCTGCTAACTGTCCTTCTGACTGTGTCTGTACATCACTTTGTCTGCCTGCTAACTGTCCTTCTGACTGTGTCTGTAAATCACTTTGTCTGCCTGCTGTCCTTCTGACTGTGTCTGTAGATCACTTTGTCTGCCTGCTAACTGTCCTTCTGACTGTGTCTGTACATCACTTTGTCTGCCTGCTGTTCTTCTGACTATGTCTGTACATCACTGTGTCTGCCTGCTAACTGTCCTTCTGACTGTGTCTGTACATCACTTTGTCTGCCTGCTAACTGTCCTTCTGACTGTGTCTGTACATCACTTTGTCTGCCTGCTGTCCTTCTGACTATGTCTGTACATCACTTTGTCTGCCTGCTAACTGTCCTTCTGACTGTGTCTGTACATCAGTTTGTCTGCCTGCTGTCCTTCTGACTGTGTCTGTACATCAATTTGTCTGCCTGCTAGCTGTCCTTCTGACTGTGTCTGTACATCAATTTGTCTGCCTGCTAACTGTCCTTCTGACCGTGTCTGTACATTAGTTTGTCTGCCTGCTAACTGTCCTTCCTACTCTGTCTGTACATTAGTTTGTCTGCCTGCTAACTGTCCTTCTAACTGTGACTGTACATAAGTTCGTCTGCCTGCTAACTGTCCTTCCTACTCTGTCTGTACATTAGTTTGTCTGCCTGCTAACTGTCCTTCCAACTTTGCCTGTACATTAGTTTGTCTGTCTGCTAACTGTCCTTCTGACTCTGCCTGTACATCAGTTTGTCTGTCTGCTAACTGTCCTTCCAACTTTGTCTGTACATCAGTGTGTCTGCCTGCTAACTGTCCTTCCGACTCTGCCTGTACATCAGTGTGTCTGCCTGCTAGTTTCTCCTGTAGTTATTATATCATATAGATTTTGTGAATGAATGTTACATACGACATTCGCTAACTCATGGCTGTCATTTCTGCAGGTGATATGTTGGATCCGTGATATGACGGGCAGGAAGAACCTGGTCAAGAAGACTCTTGTAGATGAAAGATTTTTGATATAATAAACATGATATTATATTGTACATGTTTGTGCACCAGGGATATTGAAATTGTGATTTATCGTATGTACTTGAAACCTCTGAATATGAATGTAATCTGATCCCTGACTGAGCTCGTATGTTGGATAAATCTTATCCTGAATTTGTTATTCCCCTTAAAATTAATGTAAATAATTTATTCATTCCAAAAATCATCCTATTAGTTTCAAAACGATGTTTTTCATTTTCATTCTCGGGGAAAATGTGTATCACTGTTCCTGTATTTGTTTTTGTTGTACCCGGGTGTAGGGTTACTTTCGACCAGAATGTTACAGTCCATCACCATCGAGTGCCTCGTCAGCTGGTTAAAGTCGTCCTTCGACAGTATTAACGTGACCTAATTTATTTAGAAGATATTGAAATTCTGTCGGGTAATGTAGAGAGTTCTCATCTCTCCAGCTCGCATCCTGGATTTCACCTCATATTTTAGGGCAAACAATTTGCGAACCTGACCTTGAATCCTAAACAAAAAACAAACAAATTTGTATGCAGTTCCACTCGTATCCTGAGGTTCCATTTTTTTAAAACATGAAACACCAGGGTTCCGCAGCTAGCGACAATGGAGACTATTCAAAGAAGTCACAAGGAGACTGACTTCAGCAGTGCAGACATTCAAGGAAATCAAAAGCTGACAGTACAATGGCAGCAAACTCAAAGTAAACATTTCGAGAACATGCATTTTTCCTGTAATTAGGATGTGAATCACTGAACATTTAGTGGTCGCTAATTGGGTCTTTTGAAATTACCTCTTGAATATGTTTTAGAATATGGTATATTAGGCAAAAGAAAATACTGGTCTTAAATGAAAGACTTTCAGATGAAACTTCCTGTTCCACTCACTCTTTTGTTAGTCTCACAGACATGCATCACCATACGGGAATTTCATTCACTGATGAATGTCAATAGGTTTCAGCCCTTCACTAATTTAAAAAAAAATACCAGAATGCTGCTCCTCTTTGGTGCAGTCAAAAGTGGGTCAACCATTTTAAAACTGACATTGTTACTTCTATGTGTTCGTCGGCGCTATTATTTAATGTGCTTAACACTCTTGACATGCTTAACAACGATATTGACAGGTTACAAGACAGTGGCATGATTACTGTAGTTTCTATAACATTTGTAAGCCCCCTCATGTGAAATCTGAACATTGAAGTAAACTTTCTCGTCATATCTGTGAAACTGAAATTCTTCCAGCTGCAGTGATTTCGAAGGAACAGTATTGGGAGGCAGGGTTCCTGGAAGAGTAGGTGGTTGACCAGCTGTGAGGTAAACACAGGGAAATCAGATACTTGAGGCAGGGAGGACTTGACAAGGCACCAAAAGGCTTTCTGGTGGTCCGAGATAGGGGTCACACCCTACAAGAGACATGCTACCTGATGATGATTATGAGGACTGCAGTGATGGTTCTGGTTGACATTGTTTACCAACATTCCTTACTTGAGTGTACTTATTTCATCTAGCCATTGCATTTTCCTCTGTATGTAGACTGAAAGGACATAGTTCTGTTGCACAGCTACTGAGTTGAGTACATAGCATGACAGTGTTAGCTGTGGATTTCATTTGATCTTCTTCTTCTTCTTCACATTCACCGGCTGTAAACTCAAGCGGAAAGTTCTGGTTCTTCATTTACTTCTGGATTATGGTCTTGTTCCAGAACTTGAGTTCTGCATGCACATCTGTTTTACAGGTCTGGCTTATTTGTAAGCAGACTGTTGTTTTCTCACCTTTTGGGCAGATGCACTCCGCTTCTAAGGACAATTTTATTCAAAACACTTTTTGACTGTGCCCAACGTGGCTCATGTTATGTACTGCAGATTAACTCTTTGAGTCCCAGGGGGTTTAGCATCACAGGCCCAAGGGGTAGCCAAGAAAGACGTAAAATCAGCGCATCTTGCGTTCATTGGGCTTCTAGGTAGGAATCTATGAACGTATGACGCGTTCCTTGGGACTCAAAGAGTTAAAATAAGGGATGATTAGCCTGTTGCCACATAACTGGTGGTGCCTTATACGATTAACTGCATGTGCACCTACTGATTTGTTGTAACTGCTACTTCTATTAACGGTGAACTTTTCTAGTGCCAGTCTGTTTGTGTTGGCATTACTTATAGCTGCCTTGCATATTTAATGCATGTGTATGCTATTGGCTTTGTTGAGGCCATTCTATGTCAGTTTTTTTGCAAAGGACATTGATGGACATTCTGTGTGGTTTTCTTTGATACAAGACGGAGCAACCATGGGGTGACCCGTTTACTAGGGAGTTGGAACTGCGGTGACCTGACTAAATGACTTGATTATTCATTTCATCCATGAGTATATTGTTTTCATTGTTTATTTACAAGAGATTCGGTGTCGTAGATTTCGGACTCTGGGAATTATGGGGTTGTTACGTGAGTGCTGGACTGAAGAAATTGAAAACACGAATATGGAATCTTCAGCCATCATCATCATCATTGTATGCCTTGTAAGATTGCCCAGGCATTCATGTCTATCCTCAGATCAGTTTTACACATGATACACCTCAGATGTGTTATCTTATAATCATAGGGGCCGCGTTAGCGCAGTGAATAGGAGACTTGCTTTCAAATCCAACTGCGACTCGCTGCAGCCCACGGCCTGTGTTTAAAACCGGGCGGTTCCCGGGGTTCACCCAGCCTTTAGGAAATGGGTACCAGAATTGACACTCTGGGGGTAAATGGAGGAATGTAACTAGCTACGGAGTTACGTGTGGACAGAGAAACAGGCGGACAATTTCTTATCAATTGTCCATATTGGTGGGATAGCACTTCTGGTTTATAACCGTGTGCAATGACGCTGGTTCATATCTCCCGACTTTACCTTTTTTATCCTATAATCATAATATCTGGATCTATACAAATTACAAATAAATAGATATTGAATAGCACTCATGGATGGGCAATGTAAACCAAAAAATTAACAGAACAGTTTTTTTAAGAGGAAATAACTAGATAAGGTGAGCGAACTAGACACAGAAAGATAATTAAACAAGGAAAGATACAATAAAAAGGGGCGTGAAATAGACAAGGGAATTAAATAAACAGGGAGAGATGGGCAGAGAATCAACGAGGAGAATAATGTTCAAGGCTTAGAGGCACAGATATTCTGGCCTGTTTCTGTCTATTAGCCCTCATGACACTAATGATCAGTGGTGATTTCAACAGATTATGAATTTCATTGTTGCTTCTGTCTATTAGCCCTCATGACACTAATGATCAGTGGTGATTTCAACAGATTATGAATTTCATTGTTGCTTCTGTCTATTAGCCCTCATGACACTAATGATCAGTAGTGATTTCAACAGATTATGAATTTCATTGTTGCTTCTGTCTATTAGCCCTCATGACACTAATGATCAGTGGTGATTTCAACAGATTATGAATTTCATTGTTGCTTCTGTCTATTAGCCCTCATGACACTAATGATCAGTGGTGATTTCAACAGATTATGAATTTCATTGTTGCTTCTGTCTATTAGCCCTCATGACACTAATGATCAGTGGTGATTTCAACAGATTATGAATTTCATTGTTGCTTCTGTCTATTAGCCCTCATGACACTAATGATCAGTGGTGATTTCAACAGATTATGAATTTCATTGTTGCTTCTGTCTATTAGCCCTCATGACACTAATGATCAGTGGTGATTTCAACAGATTATGAATTTCATTGTTGCTTCTGTCTATTAGCCCTCATGACACTAATGATCAGTGGTGATTTCAACAGATTATGAATTTCATTGTTGCTTTGTCTATTAGCCCTCATGACACTAATGATCAGTGGTGATTTCAACAGATTATGAATTTCATTGTTGCTTCTGTCTATTAGCCCTCATGACACTAATGATCAGTGGTGATTTCAACAGATTATGAATTTCATTGTTGCTTCTGTCTATTAGCCCTCATGACACTAATGATCAGTGGTGATTTCAACAGATTATGAATTTCATTGTTGCTTCTGTCTATTAGCCCTCATGACACTAATGATCAGTGGTGATTTCAACAGATTATGAATTTCATTGTTGCTTCTGTCTATTAGCCCTCATGACACTAATGATCAGTGGTGATTTCAACAGATTATGAATTTCATTGTTGCTTCTGTCTATTAGCCCTCATGACACTAATGATCAGTGGTGATTTCAACAGATTATGAATTTCATTGTTGCTTCTGTCTATTAGCCCTCATGACACTAATGAACAGTGGTGATTTCAACAGATTATGAATTTCATTGTTGCTTCTGTCTATTAGCCCTCATGACACTAATGATCAGTGGTGATTTCAACAGATTATGAATTTCATTGTTGCTTCTGTCTATTAGCCCTCATGACACTAATGATCAGTGGTGATTTCAACAGATTATGAATTTCATTGTTGCTTCTGTCTATTAGCCCTCATGACACTAATGATCAGTGGTGATTTCAACAGATTATGAATTTCATTGTTGCTTCTGTCTATTAGCCCTCATGACACTAATGATCAGTGGTGATTTCAACAGATTATGAATTTCATTGTTGCTTCTGTCTATTAGCCCTCATGACACTAATGATCAGTGGTGATTTCAACAGATTGTGAATTTCATTGTTGCTTCTGTCTATTAGACCTCATGACACTAATGATCAGTGGTGATTTCAACAGATTATGAATTTCATTGTTGCTTCTGTCTATTAGCCCTCATGACACTAATGAACAGTGGTGATTTCAACAGATTATGAATTTCATTGTTGCTTCTGTCTATTAGCCCTCATGACACTAATGAACAGTGGTGATTTCAACAGATTATGAATTTCATTGTTGCTTCTGTCTATTAGCCCTCATGACACTAATGAACAGTGGTGATTTCAACAGATTATGAATTTCATTGTTGCTTCTGTCTATTAGCCCTCATGACACTAATGAACAGTGGTGATTTCAACAGATTATGAATTTCATTGTTGCTTCTGTCTATTAGCCC